GAGAAGAGAAAGATTTGTGCGTCGTTTTATATTTAGTTATGGGCATGACTCAGGAGACCAGTGTGGAAAAGCACATTTTATACATGTAATTTAAATAACACAGTTACTTTGCTAAGTGTCACACATTGCTATCCTGGCATAAAGAAGCAAATGTCTTAAGAAAAAGTAAGAAGAATTGTGCGAATAAAAGTGTTAGTCTTTGGGGAGAGCAACTTTGGTCTCCAGTGTCCTGTTAATTTAATTTGACTCATTCCACTACTTAGACTACAGAATTCAGACTTTAAATATTGTGTTTCATCTCCTACATTTTGCAGTACTCTGCAGTATGAACCACCTTTTCAGTATTGAACACATTATAGTGTTACTGTTCCTGCTATAAAAGTACTTTTCTAATAGTAAATCTTTTTCCTATAAACATATAGTGTAGCAGGTCAAACATTTGTGAAGGTATGTATTCTGGTATTTCTGTGCCCTTTATATCCTAAACCTTTTACTAGCTGCTTTGATTTTTTAAAAAAAATATTTTATATCAGAACACTGATTTAAATAAATCGTGAACTGTGGTTTCTTCAGTTTTATTAGAATAATGTACTTTTTTTCAGATCATGGGGTGCTTTTCTTGGATCTGTTATGTAAAATGTTCTTTTTCATTCTATTTAAGTGCATGTAAAAACATGAAACTGAAGCTTATGAAGGCAAGTAACTGCGAAACTAAGTTTTCATTTAAGAATTATATGTGTCTATTTTATTAGATTATAAGAAAGTAAGCATAAATGGAGCTTTTTATTCTGGTAAATTAAGCAGGCTTGTTCTGGCAGATTCGAAGTACTGATTTAATGGTTTTTGTTGTTTGGGTTTTGTGTGTGTTTGTATTGCTTTTTTTTTTGTAGCACATTCTTGTAATTCATACGGAAAAGAAACATTCTGACTTTTCCAGTGTCTTTCACTGCTAAAGGCCACTTTTTAAAGAAGCTGTGAGTGTAAATGGGTTTGAAGAATAAGGCTGATATTTGGGATCAGAATAAACAGAAAATTTCAAGATTTCGTGCACTTGTACCATAATGCAAGGCATCAAAATGGAGTAAATAGCGTGCATGTTCAGTAGAGCTACCCCATGGAAGAAGCACCTTTCCTTCCAGCTGCATGATTCGTGTGAAATAAATATGCTGAAATGACTTGTCAGAGCTAAAATACTATGTGGCAGCTCCCTTTTCCCTTTTAAGGTAGTTTAATTTTCACCTGTATCACTATATTAGCAAAAGAATAACTGGATGGAAAACTCTCTTCCTTGTCTTTCTGAACTTTTTGAGACTGCCTGACTTTCTGCTTAAGAACAAGACAGATGCTCAGTTACTGGTTTTGTCGGAGTCTTGAGTGTTTTTCTTTTGAACTCAGCAAATGCCCTAACCATTGGACTACTGATTCTTCTTAGATAGACTTCACTCTTGTTTTGGCTATGAATTCTGTACTTTGACCATTTGTTTTCCCCTCAGCATAAAGTCCAACTTTCTGCTTCCAAAATGCTGTTAATCCATTACAGCTAAGGTACCTTCGTCACTGCAGGAGTGCCTACATACGGTGCATTATATTGCATCTCCTTAGTTTCTGAACGTTTCAGTGTGTTCCTTTTGGAATTGTTTAGTATGTTCTATAATGTGCCTTGCATGTTTGCAGAATAAAGAAATCATAATTATTGAGGATGCATCTCATCACTTCATTTTCTACAGCTGGCAGTAGATGCTGAATTTTCACATGCAAATTGTACCTTTAATATTCTGTGCTAGAAGACAGCCCTTGTTTAGTAATTTACCCGGTTTCACAGAGCCCAAATTGGTAACCATCGATCTCTGAAGTCTGTCTCCTTTCACACCTGAGTTTTCTTTGTCTTGTGATCCATTCGGCTCGCTCTAGCTCTAAGCCATAGTGCAAGGCATTCTGTAGGCTCTGAGGTGAGCTGTGAAGTTCATACTCAAATGGTAATTGGAGCCTCAGCTAAAATAACCGTATTAATACAAAATTTTTGTCGTAGTTTCCATCTATAAAATGAGGATAGAGACACCACCCACCTTACAGGGGAGATGTAATAATGCGTAGTTAGAGGTTGTGAGGTACTCAGGTGCTATAGTGATACTGACCACACAGGTCTAGGAGAGCAAAATAAGAGAAATGCCATTGATTTCAGAGTGCCTAAATTTAACTTAATTTCTTTAATGAATCAGGCCGATAGATTTTTTTTTCTTTCTTTTTTTTTTTTTTTTTTTTTTAGATTTTCTGTTGGGTGTTTTTCTGCAGGGAATTAAGTATGAATATAATGGCATAATATTTAAATAATAACAATTCCTGTGCAAAGCTCCCTGCTTACTCCTAAGCCTAAGCCGAAATCTTATTTGAACAAGCTAAAAGCTCTTTTTTCAGTCTTTCAAGGCAACGCTGCATTCTGAGCTACTGGAATCTGGAGTACCTGTGCACCTGCTTTTGTCTACTGTTACAGAAACCTTTGTGAATGATAAACGTAGGAGACAGATTAGATGTAATTAATATTAATTATCATAACCGTTGATGCTATAGAATCTTGGGTGATTGATCCTTGTAGCAACCCTAATGAAAACAAAGTCTTGTAGTAAAATTCATCAGTACAAAGGAGTAGCACAACATGTGGCTGTTCTTACCAGGAATGTGGTGGCACTATCATCTATCTGTGGTATTATATATGTAAATTAAAAAAAAAAAAAAAAATTCTATTTTCCTAGCAAGGATCTTTGCTTCAAATGTTTCATCTTAGTTCATATGCTTTAAGTTCATAATTTAAAATCATACAGCTATTTAGCAGTAGGGTTACTTACTACAGCAGCTTTCTATATATACTCCTGGTCTTACAAATTTATCCATGAAATAAATTGGATCATTGATTACAGTAAATAAGAAAACACAATTTGCCAATAGAAGGTGGGTCTCTGAGGTGGTGTTTTAGTTGTGTTAATATTAAGAATGTATAAGGAGGGGTGGCTCAAGAGATTAGGACATTAAGCTGAAGTCTTGGAAATACAGATTTGATCCCTGCTGTTCTAACACCTTGTGTAACCTTTGCCACGTCATTTATTCTTCATGTGCCTAAATTCCCTTTGTGTTTAAAAGGTAATAGCTCTGCTATGCTGAATAGGGTGTGACAGTGATAAATGCTTTAAAATTTTGAGAGTCTCTGGGATGCTGTAGCGTTAGGAGACACATAAATTGATGGATGTAATGAGACGAAGGTAGAAAAATGAAACAGAAGATGAAACTTTTTGCTTGTAAAATGAACTGTTCCTGCTGATTGCATTGAAGACAGGGGTTTTTTTGTGGTTTTGTGACTTTAAAATCGGTGGTCACTAACAGGCTGCTTCTTTGCAGGTTGTCTGAGGAGAAAAATAAAGGAAAATTTTAAAGAGACTGTGATAGGGGCATTGTTTTCCAGCACTCTACTGTTCCATAAAGTTTTTTTTTCATCCAAAAATGAAAGAAATTTTAGATTTGAAGAGTGTTTGACATACAGAAGGGTTTGCAGGTTCGACCTTTATATATGTGTTTAATTTTCTTTTTGTAAAATAATATTTGCAATCCCATTCATTCTGGTGGTGTTAACTTGTTTAATATTTTTGTTATAGAACAATTATCAGACGTTTCTGGATGAGTTTCATGATGTGAATGTTGTCATACCTGACTTTTCTACAAATGAGACTGTTTTAGGTAGACAGCAAGTAAGATCGATGTTTCTTCTAGTACAGGGGACGAATGCAGTCACGGATTTCAGGGGAAATATAGTGTTAGGATAATTTTGAAATTACTTTTCCATGGGATGAGATAAACAAGAAATTTAAAGATTGTGTTTACTTTTTGAGTATTTTCTATTGAAATAAATGAGTGCATCCTAGAAAAAAAAAATCTTTCTCTTACAAGGTAATATTTTCCTCTGTGAGTCTTTATGCAGTGTACTGTGTGTTCAAGGTAAATGCAATCCAACTCTGATATAAGCGATGACTGACTTCGGCAGAAAAGTTATCCGCTGTCTGAACAGTGACTTTAGAGTGGGATTTCCTAAGATTTCAAAACAGTTAAGCGGAGTTTATCCAACTACTTTTCACTGTCAAAAGCTGTGTTTCTCTACATTATCTACTTAATCCTTAAAGGAAAATTTTAAAGAGACTGTGATAGGGGCATTGTTTTCCAGCACTCTACTGTTCCATAAAGTTTTTTTTTCATCCAAAAATGAAAGAAATTTTAGATTTGAAGAGTGTTTGACATACAGAAGGGTTTGCAGGTTCGACCTTTATATATGTGTTTAATTTTCTTTTTGTAAAATAATATTTGCAATCCCATTCATTCTGGTGGTGTTAACTTGTTTAATATTTTTGTTATAGAACAATTATCAGACGTTTCTGGATGAGTTTCATGATGTGAATGTTGTCATACCTGACTTTTCTACAAATGAGACTGTTTTAGGTAGACAGCAAGTAAGATCGATGTTTCTTCTAGTACAGGGGACGAATGCAGTCACTTGGATTTCAGGAAATATAGTGTTAGGATAATTTTGAAATTACTTTTCCATGGGATGAGATAAACAAGAAATTTAAAGATTGTGTTTACTTTTTGAGTATTTTCTATTGAAATAAATGAGTGCATCCTAGAAAAAAAAAATCTTTCTCTTACAAGGTAATATTTTCCTCTGTGAGTCTTTATGCAGTGTACTGTGTGTTCAAGGTAAATGCAATCCAACTCTGATATAAGCGATGACTGACTTCGGCAGAAAAGTTATCCGCTGTCTGAACAGTGACTTTAGAGTGGGATTTCCTAAGATTTCAAAACAGTTAAGCGGAGTTTATCCAACTACTTTTCACTGTCAAAAGCTGTGTTTCTCTACATTATCTACTTAATCCTTTACACTACATAGGTAGCACAGTAACTCTGTAAAAGTAACCATGCTTTCTAATTGCATTTTTTTTTCTTTTTTTCCTTCTAACTAGAGTCTGTGTGTATTTACACCACCAGGAGCTAAAGAAGGACAACCACGGCTCATTCCTGCAGGGCCCATTGCACATGGCACTACAGTATCTGCTTATGTAGCCAGATCCAGAAAAACGTTGTTAGTAGAAGATATTCTGGGGGTAAAAAGCTCTCTCTTTTTAATGAGATGATTACAGCATGTTCTTAGAATGAATATTTTGATGCCGAAATGTTTATTAAGCTGAATGTATAATGATAGAATTTACATCTGTCTTGCTTCCAAGAAAATAAATTTGCGTTTGGATTAGCTTGATGGAATAATTTCAGAATATCTCATTTATTTTTAAGTTTAAAGATTATTATTTTTTTTCTTTTAACATTTTTTTGGTTGTCAGATAAGGGAAGTAATGGTACCATAGTCACTTGGAAAGAAAAAAAACCCGTCAGTCAAAACTCCTGTCCTCCTGGTCTTGAAATACTTAGTGTGCTAATCCCAACAAGACGAACTTCCATATAGTCAATCAAAGTTTGAATTAATTATAATGCAGGGCTCACACTGACAAGAATGTCAATCAGAATTCTGGTTATTAGACAGGATTTTGATCTCTGCTTACGCTAATGTAAAGCTAGAATACTTATAATATCAGTAGACCTACGTGAAGGGCACACTAATGTAACTGTAACAAAATTCAGGCTTTTGTCCGTAAAAGGATTCAGAAAATCCTAAGGTGATCTTCTGATAATTCTTGGCACTCTGTATGTCTGTCCTTTTTAATTTCTTGAAAAACTTCAAGTCAACATCCTCTAGTTGTATCTATGCAATTGTATGAAACTGATATTTAAACTGTACTTTATGAGAACACTTTATGATCAGCTGGTTATGAGAACACCAAGGAAGTTTAAATTCTCTTCTCTCTTCAGTGTTTTCTATCCTTTTGAGTTCTGTCCAGAATAACAATCTTTGGATACTGTGGCCAAAATTGGACATTGCTGTCTCTATTTTAAAAAATATTTGTTAAAAAATGTATGACCTTTAGTGGGCAAACCCAGGCTATAAACAAAATACCAAATGCCTAATGTGAGTACACTTAAACAGAACCACAGAAACAAAAGGCAGAAGCCGCTTTCCCTGTAGTAACAGTCAGTGCTTTCTATACACCCTGGACTATAAAGATTTTATATGTTGTTAGATTTGTTCGGTCACACACAGGGCTTAAATTGTTACTGGTAATCTCCAATTAATATAACAATATCCTTGTATGCGAGGGCTGTATGTTTTGATTTTATATTCATAATCAAATCGGGGGCAGGGGGGTAGTGGGGAGGAGTTTTTTGTTGGTTTACAGTATCAGTGGATTATTGACCGAACAGGGAGTTTCATTTTGGTGACGTGGTTTGCCTTCATGTGATTTTAGGAGCATCTCAACAGTGCAAGGGAAGTGCTTGCAGATAGACTTGCCAGCCCTTTATATTGGGAGGACAGAATTAAAAAGTGAAAGCAGGAGGCTCGTGTTGCAAAGTGCTTCCCACTCTCTTTTGTCTGTCATTTGTTCCTAGCCTTCAGATTGATTGTCAACTTAGAAATTAAGGTAGAGATTACTTGCTGTTTTCTTCGAGAAAGGAGAGATTTTGATCAGCCTTGAAGGAGTGCCTGTCTTGCCTGAGCAAGGCAACATCTGGTACGAATCAAGTACTGAAGGATTGATGTGCAATGAAGTGGGTCTTGCACATTTCACATCAGCTAGTTACTGCCTTACTAACTGTAACATCCAGGAGGTTTCTCAGGTCTTTGTGAGTTTTCCCACATGGGGAACTGAAGCTATAAAGCCTTGGACGTTCCCTATTTAGATTAAAAGTTATGAATTTGGGCCTTTTATAGCAGCTGGTAGGATTATTTTAACATTTGTTCCTATAACTGTTGCACCGTTTTATTCAGGATGCATAAGCAAGGGAAGGAGAAAGATTCTTATTCTCCTGCACAGTTTTTTAGGAAGACACTTTCCTCCTTGGGAGTTGGTTGTGGATTATAACTCTGTATAACCTAAGGCCTTAGCCTCAGGTTTTGATTTTTGTTCTCTCGGAAGCACTGCTGTCTGCTTGGTAACGCTGAAATCTGAGCAGTCCACTTCATGATTACAAAAGCTTTGGGGGTGGTGGTGGTGGTGGGGTAGTGTTGTTTGTTTGGGTTTTTACTTAATCTGGACTGGCATTAGCAATGAAGTGCTGGTTTTGCTGCCTGTGAGATTAGAGAAAATGTATTATAAAAACAAACGCAAAGCTGGGTCTAATATCACAGCTAATTCTAACTTTACATCAATGAGGTTATTTGTATATGTAAATTAATGCTGAGACTTTTTTGTTGCAGTTTTTTAGTAGATGTCTTAATACTGTGTGTAAATTATGCTGAGATATGAGTTTTAGTGAATTTTATCATTTTCCTGCAGATTTGATCAGCCAGGAGAGGGAGGAAAACGTCACTATATCTTTCATGTTAATGTTATGATATTTACGTTTTATCAGATTATGTTTACATTTTCTAGGATGAGCGATTTCCCAAAGGTACTGGACTGGAATCAGGGACTCGTATCCAATCTGTTCTGTGTTTGCCAATTGTCACTGCAATTGGTGATCTGATTGGTATCCTGGAGCTTTACCGTCACTGGGGCAAAGAAGCCTTCCACCTTAGTCACCAAGAGGTGAGCTCATGCCCAGCCTTTCCCCACTTCCCCACAATGGTCAGCCCTTCAGCCCCCCCCCAACTTTTTTCTCTCGCTCTTCTCGTGTTTTTGACTTTTTTCATACTTGATTTTTGTTCTCAATGAATGTTACTTATTGAAAAAAACAGGTAGTGATTTGTATTTTCAGTCACAGAAAGTAAAATTTACATATACAAGTACAGGGACACATCAAGAATTTTACCTTGTGTTCTTCTGTGGAAAAACAGGTTCAAGATTTCTTTATTGATTATAAACTCAATACAGAGTTGTTAGAGAAGTTAATGCAGAGCAGGTGAATGAAATGTAAGTGTAAATCAAATGTCAAAAACCGAAATAACTTTATATAAAAAGGACATTGTCGAGTCATCCTGAGTCTCAATTTTAACTTTCCAGTAAAGCTTTATTTTACAGTATGGAAAGACTTTTTTTTTTTTTTTTTTTCCTCCCCCCAGCTGACTTTTTCGGTGTGGCTTCTCAAGTGAATGAGCCCTATCGTAAAACATAATGTTGCAGTGTTGTAGCAACAGTATAGCCAGTCTCAATGCTAGGTCTCGCAGGAGGGGGAAGCAATTTTATTTTAAAACAAAAGTGAAGCAAAAGAGATTTCATGTATTTGCATTCACATTCGTACATCCACACGCTCTCAGGCACCAAGATGTGTGTGTCCAGGTGGTATTTCTAAGAGTTGCGCACAGAGATGCACGTACCCTGCTAGTCTCTCCAGGATGCCTTGGAATGGGAGGACAAGGGATGCCGGCTGTTGAGTCCTTATGTCTCCTGGTTTCTTCCTAGGTTGACAACCATGTGCTGGTTTTGGGTCAGCCTTTTCTTTAGCCTTTAGGAGCTGACATCTTTTGTCTCTCTAGCCTGTCCCATCTCTGTGAGTCATCAAGATTTACTCACTGTCCTTTGTCTCCTGACCAAGATGTCCTTAGAAACTGTGTGTAGATGTGCTGGTACCTGGATGACCTGCTAATCTAGCTGCCATTCGTAAAGCTCTATTCTGCCTTTTTTTCCTTCTGATGCTTCCCCATCCAGATATTCCCATTCATAACCATCTTCCCATTTCCATGACTGTTCTCTATGCTGCATGGTTTACTGTATTTATATAAGGCCTGTGTAGCTACATTGTCCATACATGTCCATTTGTCACTTCAAAGTTATAAGTTGTTAGCCAAGTACAAAAAAATTTGAAAACGGAGCAGATGTCTCAAAGGCTATCGCTGTATTAAAGGTGTTAGAAGTGCATCTTAGCTCTCATGTCTGGGTGAGGATCTTTGTTATGTCCCACCTACACATTAAGATGGCTGTCACATTAAGATGAATGTACCTCTGTACATTTCTCTCTGTACCCTTTCATTTCTCTCTGTACCCTTTCCCTTCAGGAACCTGAACACAGAGGTTAGGACAAAATGGGGTGAGTAGTAGCCAGGTCTGTTGTCTCGATAGTGGTACGAGATGCACCGTGGAGCAGTTTAGCTGTACTGAACAGGAATTATTCCTGTGAAAAGAACAGAAAATGTGCAGACAAGAGATATTAAAACTAGCCCTCCCAAGGAAGGAAAAACCAGCAATATTTGTCAGTTGTATATTCTGTTTATCAGTAACCTAAGTAGCCTAGCATACATGTGATGCTCATACGTGTATATTAGTTGGGCAGTCAATGTAGCTCCATCCTCAGTGTCACACCTGGTATTTTTTCACCAGTAGGTAGAGGTCATGGTAGGGGACTGGATTAGTATCGTGGTGCCAGTGTCCCTGCTCACAGAACAAAGAACAGGCATTCATACAAAACTAGGCTTCGTTAATTCTGCTGCTTACACGCAATGTATTTATTTTTTAAAATTATCCTATTACATTAATCAATCTACAGTTCAGGTAGGTTTCAGACATGCATTGTTCTGTGCAAATATGAATTTGTAATGTTTTATGAAATACCTTCTGTAACTGAAGTTCATGAATGTTCTACTTGGAAAAGACTGGCTGCTAAATAGAAGTATTTCATTAGTAAATTAAAAATATTTTAAGGTCACTTTCTGAGTGTTCTAAAGCATTCTTTTCATTTTCAGGTTTCAGAAAGCCTCTGGATACCATTAGCAGTTTTTATAAAATGTACAACGTGTTCTGTTTTTAAAAAAAAAAAATTAAAAAAAAGTATCTTAGGAGCGTATGCAGCAGCAGACCTCTTGTACTTCTGTCCTCTGTGTTCCTATAAAGCTCCTGTGTTTCAAGGACAGGAGATTATGCATGGTAGCACATCTTAGTTAACTGCTGTTTACATGACATTTATTTGAAAAGTTGCCTGGAAACTGTCATACTTAAAACACTAGTCTTGAGCTGAGGGATCAGGTCTGGTTCTTCTGCCACCAGAATGGTAGTGAAAGAAACGGTGCCTGTTTACAGTTGGAAATAGCTGTGGCTGAAGAGATACAGCCCCAGAAAGAAGTTATGGAATATTTTATTGCTATGGCAGATGCCTTTCAACAATGTACATAATGTAATTTTTAAAGCCCTTGGCTTATGGGATGTTTGTTTTGCTGTTATATTTCTGAGCTGATGGGTTCCCAATACTGCTTCTGAAGAGCATTGGTAAGCATTTTTTTGATACAAAAAATGAGGATTGTTCTCTTGTGACTGAATGTACCTTACTAAAATTGAAACACTCGCAAGTATACTGAGACTTTCACAAAATAACTGTCTTCCCACAAATTGTTACTGCCTGCCTGTCTAAAACAGCTCAGTGAATTTACTTAGCAGCTAGATAGAGAAAACGAGCGTGTAACTGATGTGCAGTTTTCAAGGTTTCTTCAGAGTTAGTTTCTTCTCTTTTGTTTCAGGTTGCAACAGCAAATCTTGCATGGGCTTCAGTAGCAATACATCAAGTACAAGTAAGTGTGGGTGGCTTTTCACTTTTTCGTTGTGTAACCCTTCTGCCAGAACTTGATTAGTAGGAACATGGATTATGGTCAAATTTAAGTGGAGGTCACTACTCAAACATTGATTCAAGCCCCTTCCCTGAACCTGGGAAAAATATGCTAACATTTTTGGTGTTCATTGAGCTAGTTTTCCTCATTGGCAACCGTGGATCAAATAGCTTAACAGTATTTTTACTAAAGGAAAAAGAAACTTTAACAAAGTAGATAAATAATTGTTAAAGCAGAATTATAACAACTGCAGTTTTTTTCTTGCAAGAAGGCAACTGCTCGGCCAACTGGTTGCTTTCCTCCTGCTTTGGTATTCAGTTTGAGATTATTAGGTGTTGCTGGCTAAGCCTACTTCAAGCCATCCTTGCTAGCTGCTTCACGGTCCTGTAACTAATCCCCCTAAGGATGCTTCATGCTGTCCCTAGTCAGGTGCCTAATGAAGCTCCACACAGTGCAAGCTGCTCTAGCAAACCCCAGCAGCTTTGCTAATAGCTTTTGTTACTTCAGCTAATAGAAGAGGGTAACACTGAAACTAAACATATAACTCACAGGAGGAAGTTCGTGACATTCTTTTTTCCAAGGTGTCTTTTATAGGCTTGGCAGAAGACTCACACAAAGCTTCCTGCTTTTGTTTTCTAGACTCTAATATTTGACACCTTGGTGCTGGAGTCATTGACTTTGTTTGGGGTGGTCATTCACCCTGGCACATTTAGGCAGAATTAGCTGGCGTAGGCTATTGTACGCTAGTAGAATTGCAATTGCATGCAGTTGTAGCTTCGCTTTGTAACAATGACTCCCTCTTTAACTGAGAAGTCTTTCACACCTAACAAAACAAAACATGGAAAGTTTAGTTTAAGCCTGTTCATTGGTCATTTTCGTTTGTCTCCCTTCTGCTAAGCAGAAGGCTTGCCCTTCCCAAGTTTTTGCATGAGAAGAATGCAGAGGTTTGATCTGGCATTGGGCCGTACCTACCAGACTCACAGCTGGGCTTTAGGAAGTAGTGTATATCAAGAAGTCGTACCTAGTTACCTAACTATATGTGAGAGTAAGGCTTGTGGATGTTGTTTGTCATGTTTTGCTTATTTATTTATATCTGCATTGCACAGATGAAAGATATTACTAGTTCTGAGTGATATTTTATTGTGTAAAAGGTACAAACAGTAGAGGCTTGTTTTCTTTTTTTGACCTCAATGCTTGCTCTGGTAATATACAGGTGTACAATTGTTCTTTAGATACAGAGTATGCAATTAGGTGGAGTAAAAATACAGTTCAAAGCTTTGCTTCATCTAACACTTTGCTTCTAAAATGTAGTATGCATACTATTTTTTGGGTTCGTATTCATGCTGATTTCTCCCAAAGTTGAGCATGTATCATCTGCTAGTTAGCTTACTTAAACTTGCCTGGTGTCAGTCTTCAGTTGTGTCTACGTGCTACTTTGCAACCTGGAAAAAAGTGGTAGAAGTATGGTAAGGAAGAAAGCAAACAAAATATTCGACATTCTCAGAAGAGCTGAGGGTCTGGATAAGGAGGTGTCATCAAGTTGATCCCACAACCACATTCAATGGCAGCCTTTGAGGCAGCATGGACAAGTGTAACAACCAACATCTTTCAAAGAGTCTTAAGAAAGATGTTACTTGCGTTTGACAGTTTTAGCTCAGCAGCTAGATAGCTAAGATTGAAGCCCAGCACACAAATCTAGCTTTTAATTTTATATAGTGCTGTAACTTATGTATATACTAGTAGTGGTGGTTTTTTCATACAAAATAAATGGGTAGACTGCGTGACTTCAGTTTCCCTCTGACTTCAGTGTTCTTCTGGAGCAAATGATAACGTGATCTGTGCTTCTAGGTGTGCCGGGGCCTTGCCAAGCAGACTGAACTGAATGACTTCTTGCTTGATGTATCGAAGTAAGTGTGGTTTGCACTATAATCTCATCAATTTGTTTTTATGAGCTTTTCTACATGGCTCTTCCAATCTACCTGTGTTTTACACTGTAGCTCACAAGCAGGTGCAAAGGCATACCTCGGAGGGTGGGCAAACTTCAGCACAGGGACAAGAACGAATGATGTGGGTGCCAGTGGTGTATACCTGTTAAACTTTTTTTTTGGTGGTGGTGCAGAAGAAAATGTAACATCTGATTATACCTTACAGAATTTGTTTACTCTTGTGGTCTTTTGCATGGGGTTTTGCCTTCCCCCCCCCCCCCTTCTGTCAGAGTTAAACATGTCCCTCTTTTGAGAAGTGACAAATAGGCTTGCCTTGTCTTTTCATGGCCAATTTTAGAAGGTTTGAAAGGACTTTATGAAAAGTTAGTTAGCTTGCTTCAGCTTCCCCCGCTTTTTTTGACATATATGTATATACACACACACATGCATAAGCATACGCACTTCAGGGATATATCCTTGAAGAATCAGGGCTGTCACACATCTGTTCTCCCCCTGCATTTTCTGGAGGCTCTGTTTTCGTTTTCAAAGACTGTAACTGCATGTAGTATGTTTTCTTTTAATTTCTTGCCACAATAAATGCAAGATTAAATTGAAAACACAGTAAGAGCATGAAAGCTTGGGCTTAGACTTGCAAAGTCAATTTTGTGTCTTAGGTGATCTGCTCTTCCTTCATCCCTTTTTCTTTGTTGCTGCTATTAGCATCTTTAAATAGTAGAGATAGCCAATAAATTAAAAGACAAACCAGAGTTGTACTTTTGGTAAATCACAGTCTGGGGTGCTTAACAGTGTTTTATCAAACTAGTTGGTTGAAGAATTTCTAAGTGCATTACACAGAGGACTGATGATACTGTGGAAAAATGAGATGTCTCAGATTTTTGCTGTTACAAACACTTCTGTGGGTCTTGATGAACAATTCTCAAACTGATGAGATTAGAGGACGTCCAAGATTCCTGTGCCATTTCTCAGAAATGCAGGCAAGCCGAGTTGACCCGGCTGGAATGGGGAGTGATACACCGCAGAGAGGAGTCTACGCCTTGCAAGGAGGGCCAGCTGGTTGTATCCAGATGTTTTTCCTAGCTTTTTTCCTGACTTTTTTTTTAATTTCAGCTTAAGTTCAGAGTGTCTCCCCTAAAGGGCACTCTCATCATTCCCTTGCCAGAGCTACCCACTTGCTGCAGTGTCTTGCACCATTATGTTCCTTTCCAGAGTGCTTTTATATTGCTAACATCTGTACTGAGCTAGTTTACCAGAGAACTCTGGATTAATCTACCCAAATTTATGGGCTGGCAATTTACTCTTGGTACATAGTACTGAGATTCTTTTAAAGAACTTTGTAATTATTTTAACTTTTTAAGATAAAAATTACAATAAATACTGCAAATATTTAATATGTATTTCTATAAGAAAATAGCTCTCATACAGCATTATCATTTGCTAGAATTGTTTAGTTTTAACGAAAAAGAAACCCTATGTTTTGAGCCACAAAATTGGGATATAATTTAATAACAACTTGATGAACTTCATGTAGGTAAAGACTTGCACTAGCAAGAAAATAATTAGTTTCCTCTTAGAAATGGTCTGTACCTTTTCTTATATGGAAGGAGGGTTTCCTATTCAGTGAGGAAATTGTTTGCATGCAATGTCACTGGGACATGTTCTGTAACATTTTAGAAAGAGCATAGTATGCAGTGCTCCACCTCTTCATGTCCCTGACAATGTAAGACTAGCGTATTATATATTTCCTTTCCACTAGATCCAAACAGAACTGAGCTGTATATATGTTCAAGGCCATGGGACAATGTCTTTCTGTCTGCTGGGAACATTGTAATCCGAGGGTTATTAAGACTTGGCATGTGGAAGATTTAGACTTCTTTTACTAATAAGTTTGACCTTTATCTTTCAATGTTCTTGACTGTCCTTGGACAGTTACCACTTTGCTGTGAAACTGAGATACCTTTGATCAGTCTTTTTCTGCAACTTTAACATGCTACACCTGGGTTGATAGAGAAGACTCATTAAGAGTTTTATATATTGTTGCCTTTGAAATAGTATTAAGGGTTGGATAATATGACGTGAATTTAGCTAGAATACATAGTTTTCATAAGTTCTCAGTACATAGTCCTCTATGCATAAACCTAATGAGATATTTTGAAAGCATGTAGATAATATATATCAGCAATGGAAGAAAAATTTTTTTTTTTATCTTTTGGATTGCTTTTCTTTTCCTTTTTACTCCTCCTGTTAAAATTTTCAGTGCGTAAAGGGTGCCAAAGCATTTTGATAGATTCTTGGTGTTGCTCAGCAGGGGCCTATTCAATCTATGGTAGGCAATGTTTGGTAGTCTTTTCCTTTTCTACAGAGAAAATTCTACATATTATAGAGAATATTCTACATTCCGTCATCGTAGAATAATGGCTTAAAGGAACAGAGCTAGGACCATTTCTCAATTCCCTTGTGCTATAGCAAGCCAGGCAGTGATTTTCAAGGTGCAGAGGTTTGTCTTTACCTATTCGGGCTCCACTGTTAAGCAGTTGTGAAACAAGAGCCCCTGACAGCCATTTGAGAAGTGTTTGACTAAATACCAATATTTACTGACTTCTCTTTCTCTGCAGAACGTATTTCGATAATATAGTTGCAATAGATTCTCTACTTGAACATATAATGGTAAGTTGTCTTTTTCACTTCTAAGTTTATTAGTCTTAGTTATTGAAGTCCTTCATTCTCCTTTCCTTGAAGTAAGACATTACATCATTTAAATATATGAGCTGTTTATAATGGATATGTAATACAAACAGTGTTAACGTCTCTATATGGAAGAAGGTGGCAAAGGTCAGCTTGATTTTTCATTGTCGCAACAATTTTCTTTCACAGCTTTCATAAGTAATGGAATGTGATTGTCTCTGAACTAAATATTTACTATTGTGTTTTAGAGAAGGTTTGAAAATTGTAACAGAAAGACTTCTGGTTTTGTTTTTATTTCAGCTTGTTGTATTGATTCCTTTTTGCAGCATGTAGCGAGTTGAATTTAGGAAAACACTGCTGTAGAAGTTATTGTCTATAGGAACGACTGGAGGTCAAACATTACTCCTAGAGTATTTGTTCCAGTTGCAAAAGTATTTACACCCATAACTAGTGACAGAGTCGGTCAATGTTTTATAAAAACCACTAAAGCCAAGTCCATTGAAATAACTTATCAATGAATTAAAGTACAGTTCAGAAAGAGATTATAATTTCCTGAATCAATTTTGAATTCAGAATTATGTCCTGAAGAGTGTTTATAAATACATACAGACTGGTTGTTTGTAGCACATTTTGAGTGTTTGATATATAAATTATGCTTTTTAGCTTTATGCACATTCGTTGCATACTGCAGTTCTTTTTCCTGAATGTAAATCTTAATCAGGTCTGTGATACTATTCTTTCAGTTTGTGTATTCAAAAAATTACTCCCCAACAGTACTCCGATACTTGCTCCAGTCTTCAAAGTGATATTCTTAGCTAGACTATTCAAAGACAACAAACTTAGAATGCAAACAATATTAAAGTGGTTTTCTTTAGACACTTGAATTAGTAATGGAAAATATTCTGCAGTGTTTGTCTTATTCTAGTTTAGTACACAGTCAAGAATTCTGCACATAGGACACATTTCTGAACATTGACTTTTCCAATTTAAATGAACTGCTTAAAAATAGCTTAACATTTAAAAGAACTGGTGTAATATGGCATATGGCATTGAGAACAAATATTTATATTCTTCCCTGTTCTTCCCTATGAATAGAGGTCTGGTGGAAAACACAATTGGCAGTGAAATAGGCTTACTCTTTCATCTTCTTTTCCAACATTTGGCTGCATCATGATTCTGCATTTTAACCTGTGTAGATGTTTCATACTCAGCTTCCTTTGTAAGCTGTAGCAGTTGGCTGTTTCTTGGGCCAATTAATTGAATTACGTGTTTGCAAATTTATTGCCGTTTTATGGGAGTGCGACTTTATCATTATGTGGCTTATTCTGTGTCTCACAGTGAGAAAAGAGTGGAACGCAATTTCACCTCACTACTTCACCCTTTGGTGATTATATTTAAAGTTTGATTTGTTCCTGTAATAATAAAGAAAAAAGTATGGGGATTTTAGCATTCTTTTCATTTTTATTTTCATTAAAATCACTCAGCGAAGTTAGTGGTATAAGGGTGTTTTCGAATATAGATGCAAGGAGGGGAAGCAGAAGTTCAAGTTGCCTTGCAAATTTTCTTACCAGTATGCTTGAGTAGTTACAAACAACCTACCCAAAAGGTGGTCCCTGGTCTCCCTATTGACAGTGCAAGGCATACCTTTTGTACTGATATTCCCCTGCAGCCACTGGCCTGGATTTGAGCTAGAGCTTTAGAGAAGTAAGACTTTCTCATCCCATTAACTGTTTCTCTCAATTAGTAGTGTTTAAGCAGTTATTTTTGAAAAGCATGAGTCGTGGCCAAGGTAAGTTCTTGAGTCATATGCATTAGAACACAAAAGTTTAATTGTATAAAATCAACACTGTGCTGTTGATTTTAAAAAGAAATCTGATACAGTTTCTGAATAGGTGTGGAGAAGCATTTACTGGACCCCTTGCCCTTTTTGGCACAGTTTACATTCACTCTGTTTTGAGCAAAGGAATAAATGGTGTGAGTGGTTGAGATCTTTAAAATTCTTAATGCTCTAAGTGGGAAGTATTTCACAAAAGTTACCTCTTAGCTTGCAGTCTCCCTGACTTTCTACTGCTCTGAGGAGTAGAAAGCAACAGAATCTTTCCAGCCACAGATTCTGTCGGTACGGGAGGGCCCTCCAGGTTTTATAGAGTCGGTCTAGATGGTTTCTGTGCAGTTCCCATTACACAGCTCATATGACATGGGATTAGAGCCTCATAGGTTTTTTCTGCCGAGGTCTAACATTTACCTATTTGCATTAATATGAAATGAAATATTTTAGGTTTTTGTTTTTATTTTTGAAAGACAAGAGAGAAGGGGGGAAACTTAATTCATTCATATGGAAGTCTTGAGAATTCTTAAGACACACCACCTGCATACATTGCACACCAAGATGTAGTCAGCCTCTTTCTGTGGCTGGATGACTAGATTGCTATTACATACAATTTTAAAAAGTGCAGTTACTATACTTTCTAAGCAGATAAGAAACATAGGAGATGTATCTGAATTGGATAGAGCAGGTTCTTGAACCTGACTGTATGGCATCTTAAGTTAACACAGTGATCCTTGTTGGACTTTGGTTCACTCTTTCTTCTTGTTCTCAGAAGGTCCATTGTATGTCTGAGAAACATTTCAGCGAAGGGGTGCCGTGTTCCCAGGACAAGACTCTGTTCTGACAATCAGTGCTGGCTGGCAGTTAGTTTTGCTAAGATAAAACTAGCTGGTTCAAAGTATGATAGAGACCATGCAAGTCTATTGCTGTACTGTGGTACTTTCTTGACTATGGGAGGTACCTTGTGGGCTTTGGTTAGTTTATGTAGAACTACTAAGTCTCAGCTTTTGTGCAAGAACTGTCCCTAGCATCAGGAGGGCGTGGCCATTTCCTATACCGCTGCATAGGGCAATCTGTAATGACACTTCTAATCTTCCCTATTTGTTCATTGTTATGTATTACAGGCACATTTAGCTTTTTTAGAAACAAACACTAGTCTCTCTGTTATGTCTTTCCTTGCTGGATATTCAATACCAATGCATTTGTATTGAAGATAAAGACAAAAAGCCAAAAATGTTCTTAGGTCTTGCTATATCCTATCTATTTAAAATCAAGTAAAGGTGAACAATATCTAAACATGGAGGGAGGAATGGTACCATTTTGAAAAGTATTCCTTGTACTTGAAAAACAGTGTAATAGGAAAGCCTTTTTTCTTTTAGCAAACATTCAAGCCTCTAAAGATATTCCCGTGTTTCTCAAAGAGAACACTGTAATTTACAAAAAAATATTGAATAAAAGACACACATTCATTTTGAATTGTATCCTGCACTGTAATTTACAAAAAAATATTGAATAAAAGACACACTTTCATTTTGAATTGTATCCTAAAAGATTGCTGTGAAGGTGGATGCTCCTTCAAACATATTTTCATGCTGGATAATTTCTCAAAATTTTTAACTTCTAGGGACTTATGTTTTTATCAGATAAATGACTGAGGATAATCTAACTCATGACCGTTAACTCTAGTTTTGTTTTTTTGTCTATAGATATATGCAAAAAACCTGGTGAATGCAGATAGGTGTGCACTCTTCCAGGTTGACCACAAAAATAAGGAGCTGTATTCGGACCTTTTTGATATTGGAGAAGAAAATGATGGGAAACCTGTCTTCAAGAAGACCAAAGAAATAAGGTAAGAGCAGCTAGCGGAAGAATGCAGTTTCATTATAACTACGGATGTGCAGGCATTTTATTACCCAGTCTCTGTGCCTATCTGCAGGTACCCTGACAATACTTGTCATACTGTGATATCATTCCCACCAGGACCCGCCTCCAGAAGGTAGTACTTCTGGGAATGACATTGCAGTGCCATCGAAACAACGTCTCTGAAGCTATAACGTCACTCCTGGAAATGCCGTCTTCCGGAGGCGGTCCTTTTGGAAATCATGTTGGGAAAAAAACAGAGGTGTTCTGAGGTAGGTAAAGGTGCAGGTAAAGGTGCACCTAATCCATAGTCTGCCAGTATGGGACTTTTTTTCCCAAGAGGGTTCCCAAGAGGAATTAAAATTTGTGCGATTCAAGCATATCCGAAGCAAGGAAATCACAATTTGTACTTCTTACGGATGGATTAGGCATATGTAGAATCTAGCATGGGCTGGTCATTGCTTTTGAAGAGTTCAGGTCCAGTAACTTAGTTTTACTTTTTCTCATGTGAATTTAGAGTATTTTCAAACTTTTAAATAATTGTGATTCTGAAGTATGCTTGAAGTGGTGAATTTGAAAATGTATATGGGCTTGTAATGAATACATAGGATTCTCTGCCTAAAATTGATGTGTATTTCTGCCTGATGTCACAAGTACATATTTTTTACACATATGCATATTTTTTTAATGAAAGAGGCAAGACAACAAAGTAAAGATAACAACATTTTTCACTCTTCAAAAGTTATGAATCCTTAATAGATACAGATCAAGATTTTCAAAGGCACACAGGTTTTAAACCTACAGCTTCTTAAAAAGAAAGAAATGCATCACTAAATATCCTGCACTAAAACTTTGTTAAAATACTCGGCATAGATTTTCTCAGAATTTTTTTCATTTCCTCCTTAGACTTTTAAAGTTCTGGGCCAATATGAGATGTGATTCATGTCTTCACTTAGACTCCTTTAGACAAACTTACTCCCACTTACTACATTGTGTGAATGAGAATGAAAGGAGTCAAAATTGGTGCAATTTACATACTGAGAAGCAAGGAGGTGGTGTAAATGAAAGAGGGTGGCCTGCTTTAACATACACTTTCATACTCCTACTTGATAATTGTTTTTCTTGCTTATATCTTTCTGTCTTTTCTGTATGAAAATTATTGAAATGTTGACTCTGAGTGCAAGGGTGTGAGCCATTTCATGGGTGCTGTATACTGAAAAAGAGGTACAACTTAAATATCTGTAAGAAAGTGACACTGAGTCAGTCAGTCATCAGGAAGGAGCCTTAAGTTGGTGTGATGTACATATCATAAGAAGCAGCAGAAGAAACTAACTTAAAATCAGGTGTGCAGGGTGAAATCCTGTCAGCTTTGTCACTAACTTCAGTGGGGGCAGGATACTGCCCAGGTACATTTAGATTTGATAGTGTTCCACATGTGATTCTTTCTACTTGTTTTTCTCCACAAATTCTTCTGTGCTTGTATGTCATAACTGTTTTATGTCAAAGAATTGAAAATTAGTTCCTCGCAAGACAGACTTGTAGATTTTTCTGATTCAACTCCAGAATATATTTGTTGTGTTTAACTTTCTTGTGGTGATTAAGGGATTCAGTTAGCACCGTGGCATTGTTTGCATGTCATGAGATGAAACAAGCTAGTTATTCTGAAGTGTACATGGCAAATGCATATAATGTTTAGCTTTGAAATTTCCACTGGTCTTTTTCCAAAGTTTATTTTACCAAATCCACCTGCCCCCTTGCCCCCGCTGAAGAAATAAGCTCCGTATTGCCTATGATGTGTCTAAGGAAACAATGAATATGTGAAAGCAATGATAAAATCAATAGCTTGTACAGGTAAACACAAGTCTCAGGTTCTGTACAAATGTCATGTTTGTTAGGCATAACCCTCAGGGTTATTGAAGACTTTGAATTTTTGTCGCTAAAATGGTCATATTATGGAATCTTTTGTATTAAACTGTAGTTATATAAAATGTTTTCAGAAAGTAGTTATATAAAATGTTTTCAGAAAGTATCTATTAGTATGTGCTTTTTTATTTTATTATTTACTACTAGTTGTTGTCTTGTAAGATTTTTCTCCTAAAAGCATCAAAATGACGCTGGTTGGGAACAAATATCCATTACCGTGCCCAAGACAGACTCCACGGGAAAAATATTTTTCCAGGTAGCTCATATTGTGGCTAACACACACTTTTATTTTCTGCAGATTTTCTATAGAAAAAGGAATAGCTGGTCAAGTGGCAAGAACAGGAGAAGTCCTTAACATCCCTGATGCCTATGCAGATCCACGCTTTAACAGGTAGGATGTTATTCATGGGAGGGGAAAATAGCTCACCAAACTTTTTACTTAAATTTACTACTTAAATTTCATACTAGGATGCTTTTATGGAAGTGTGATCCTCTGATGAGGAGACAACCTATAGATATCTATTTAAATGCTTTAGCCATCGGAGATATTGTTAAGATACAAATAAAGAGTATTATTTTTATCAAATATAAATATAATGGAGAAAAATTTAGTTATTTTTCTTGTTACAGAACTTTGCCCAGTTAGGTAGACTGTTGCTGATTTTCTTTATTAGCCTCCCTGCGATCTGATTAGTTTCAGGGGACAAGAAAAAAGTTCACTAACAAATAGGATGCCTAAGTACCTGAATGTATTCTTTAATTTTATGAATAAGCTGACTGTAAATTTGAGGAAGTATTAATTCTTTATCTTGCAAATGGAGATTAAAGGATTAAAAAGTTCTTTCTAAATATGACACAGTAGGTGGAAATATTTAAGAGCTTTGGAGGTGAACTTCTTGCAGGTAGTAATTACATCTACTTTAAAACTATTTAGTATATTGTACATCAACATTTCTGAGAATCAAGGAATAGATAGTAATTAATAATATTAACTCTTTTCTTTTTTTCCTTTCTCTTTTCTGGCTCTCCAGAGAAGTAGACCTCTACACAGGGTACACAACCAGAAATATCCTGTGCATGCCTATTGTAAGCCGAGGAAGTGTAATAGGTGTTGTGCAGATGGTGAACAAAATAAGTGGAAGTGCCTTCTCTAAAACTGATGAGAACAACTTTAAAATGTTTGCAGTCTTTTGTGCTTTAGCCTTACACTGTGCTAATGTAAGTTTTGTTTACAGTTTTGTAAGCTGTTGGTTGTAATGGGAAGACTTAGAATCCTACTTAAAGATTTTGATGTTCCAGATTATTAAGGTGATTCATAAGTCTGTTTCGTTGAATTAACGAGGAAACAGGAATCATTGAATTCTTTGCTGAATAATTGTATTTTAAGAGGATGATCGGGATTCATTTGATGCTTTCTGAAATAATAATACTCTGGATACATCAATTTCGTGTAGCTAAACTGAGAGAGCAAGCTCTGAAATGTGACTGATACCTGTCTGTCTTCTCTTTTCCGTTAGAAAGTATGTTTCCTATTTACTTTTATAAAGTCAGATCACATGTTTTACAGATTTAACTGGGGGATGGAGATATTATGTATTCTCTCGATTCCATATGCTCAATATTCAAAGATATCAATTTATACATTTATATGCTGTGCTGTATACTCATAATTATCCATGCTTCTAGATAAGAGTGGATAGCTATTTTTGTTTTCAAACCCTCTATTGTCACAAAAAATACTATTCTTGTAGGAAGCGTAAGCAATTTAATGATCATTACTATATAAGTATAAAAATGCAATAAATGCAATGCAGAAGAAATGCGTCATATTCATGGGAGTTAAGATACAATGCAATGCCAGTTAAGCCTGGTGAATTACATTAAGCCATTTTACCAACATCATGCTGTCGGTATACTGGGGCAGCAAATTTTACTAACAGTTACTTAAACGTGTTCCACATGACTCAAGGCAAGCAGAAAGGTCTGCGTGGGAGTATGCAATCACTCAGTTGTGTGTGAGTTCACTCTTTTTAGATGGTGTATGTTACCATTCAGGGCGTACTGCTCCAGAGGATTATCTTTTCTAGTAAAATTGTTGTGCCCTCACTTGTTTACAAACCATGCCATGTCTGCAGTTGCTGTCTGAACCTCTCTGTAATTAACTGTACTTATTTTTCACAGTTATTGCACAGTAATGTAGGTATGATAATGATAGGTCTTGTGTACTTTTTACTGTGCATAGATAGCAGTTATTTGTATCAATAGCTGAATTCATGCAGTGGCACAAAATATGAATTGTGCCCTGTTACCAGTTTTTTTTTCTGTTTGCATATTGCAAGGGACTGAGCTCTGTTTCTAACTCCTGAACTTTGATTCTTTTTCTTGGGAGAGCTCAGACGCAGTGAAAAATCAGCTGAGCCTTAGATGTTTACCCGAGTGAGTAGATGCAGAATGTGATGTGATAAAAGGCCCAGTTTTCCAGAAGTACTGAATTTCATATAATCTGTTACTTTTCTTTTTGAGCAGCCAAAAGCACTAACGTTTTTGCAGATGTGTATTTTAAGAATAAGTGCTTGAGTACAGGAAAGAAATGTTTTTTCCTTTATTAAAATTTCACATTAATAAATGACTTCCCTTTTTCAGATGTACCACAGAATTCGCCATTCAGAGTGTATTTATCGTGTAACAATGGAGAAGCTATCCTACCACAGTGTTTGTACAGCAGAAGAGTGGCAAAACCTCATGCACTGTACACTGCCTCCACATATTTATAAAGAAATTGAACTGTAAGTATTTTTCTCATATAGCGACAGTTGTATCTTGTATCAGTCTGTGAAAAAGATGTTTAGGTTTTTTTCCTAGGTGTAGCGGAGGGTTTTGTAGGAAGCACTTTTATTATTGAACTATCCCAAAATCATGGGGGTTTATCTCTGGCTTTCTTATACTTAGCTATATTTAATGACCTGTGAATGAAATTTATTTATCAAAGATGTAAAATTATACCTACTCAGAATGGTAGCATTTTCCTCAGGCATGGGTAGCTACAGCAGTTGCTTTAAGTATTGGTTTATATCTAAAGATTGTAGAGATGAGCTTTCTTTCTGATAGTCCAAAGTCAGCAACAGCTCAGAGCCAGAGAGGAGGCTGAGCTGGAACATCCGTAGTTAAGAAGACCAAATGGATGATCTCATCCCCTTGTATATGTTTTAGAATAAAAGATTCAGCTCGTTCCTGGGATTTTCTGGGTTGTATGTTTGTTGGGTTTTGGGGCGGGGGGGAGGAGTTGGGGTTTGGGTTTTGGGGTTTTTTTTGGTGTGTGTGTTTTGTGCATCTGCTTGTGTTTCTTGAAGGAGGGGGAAATGGATACAGATCTCCAAACTTCTGAAGATAATTCAGGGTTATGAATCCCAGGTGCTAGAGTTTAGAGTTGCGGCCTAAATTTGGAGGAGGACTTCCCATCCAGACTCTTAGGCTTTCTCTGAAATAATTCAGTTACTTTCAGCTCTCAAGGATCTGCTGTGCGCTGAAGATGTACCTCTACCTGTATTTTATCAGTCAGTCCCCACTCAATGCTAACATTGGGAGTCATCTCATTTTTTAGTCACTGTTTGTGGCCCAGGACAATAGATTCTACTGTAGTGACCAGGTGCCTAAAATCAGAACTCTGTGATATTGAGTCACAAAATCTAAGTTGTCTTTGTAAACCTAATCTCCAGAACTTGCTCGCTCCTGTCAGGCGCTAGGCATTGTAGCTGTGAGCGAGCAAAGCATGCGAGCGTATGCTTAACGGGGACTGCTTACAGTTGAAGTTCATTACATGCTGAAGTGATTTGCTTGAGCGCCAGAGTATTAGCAGCTTGCAGGATTACACCCTAATAGAAGCTTATTCTTTGCCATACAATTTCTTGTGCTTTGTTAGATGATATTATATAACCCACCTCCTCAGCAAAAATGACTTTTACTTGCAAAGATGACAGGTTTCATTCTAAATTATATTAACATCCTTTAGTTCGAGCAATCTGAATACATTTAACCATTTTCCAAGCAATTCAGCTACCTCCAGCTCTTTTGTACCTGCTGTGCTGTTCAGTACGCCACGTACATGCAAGCGTTTGGCCGGGTTCAATGGAAAGTAAACAGAAGACTTGCAGCACAGCAGGTGCAGGGGAAGGGGTTAATTAATAATCAAAGGACAAACAGTTCTGCTGAGTGGGTCCCTAATATTAGGCCTAAATGTTGATATCGGGAGAGGGGAGAAGTCCTCAGCTAACGAAACATTAAAAATGCAGTATTAAATGTTTGATTTTTGAAGTTTGGACTTAATTTCTATTAGCCGGTAAAAGTTTTTTGGTTTTTTATTTTTTGTGTCTCACCGAATTCGCAAGAGAAATTATTGAAAAAAAGCCAGTAAATATATAATTAGAGATACCATCTTTACAGTTCCTGGGAGGAAAGCCTGAAATATTTTAAGAGTGCCTGTAAAGCTCTCATCATCCCTGTAGAACAAAGATTTTTGTACATTACTTAAGCAATGGATTCTTAAATAAAGATTTATGTTTCTATTAACTAAACAAAGCCAAAGGCTAACCAAAGGCTAATGGTTGGACTCGCTGATCTTAAGGGTCTTTTCCAAGCTAAATGATTGTGTGATTGTATGAGCATAGTTCCATTGACCTTAGCGGAAAAATATTAACTTACATTGCTGGAAAATATAGCCTGTAAAGTCAGTTTCCTGTGTATATTCAGAAACAAGTGAATGCTGTCGGATATACATTACCTAGTTGTTTTCACTTGCTTTTAGTAAGAAAGAAAAGGTGTTTGTCCTTACTAAGCTGAAACTTTCTTCTTAGATACCACTTTGATATCAGTCCGTATGAGGATGTCTGGCCTGCCATTTTTGTCTACATGGTTCACCAGTCCTGTGGGACAGCCTGGTATGAAGTACTTGATTTATTGCTTTAATTCTGTTGTTTATGTGTTTATGTATTAGGAAATTTTGAGATCATTATTTTATAATTCAAGGTCTTACTTTCTTCGGAGTTTATTTACTATGTCTGTTCTGTACAGGGCTGTAATAAGCAGGCTGGATTTCTTGTCCCAGCTTCTTGGTCTTCAGTTAATAAAATTTGGGAACAGCCAGGTAAAAGAACTCATGTTATCATCCAAACAGTTGTCCTTCCAATATATAGAAGTATTGTTTGGTTCTGAGATGAGATTGCTTTTCAGACAGAAGATGGTGAAGATATTAAAGGCGCTCTTGCCAAAAAGGAGAGAAGGTCCATGAATACTGATTTTTCAAATATATAGTTGCTGAAATTAATACAATGTATGGTTAAAATAATCCAAGGTTAGATCTGATCTTGCTAAATAAATCAGTTATCAGGATCGTTGTGCATTAATTATGGAAGTGAATGATTTTCAGATGAAATGTTTCATTTATTGTCCCTTCAGTGTCCATTATCATTACTAAGATCAGTAGTCTCTTGGCTAAGTATGTCCCATGGCTGAAAGAAAGGAGCTGCTCCAAATTATGGAAAAAATCTACAGATGGGCAATTGAAAGGGGAAGTATCTCCCTGCAAAAAGCAGCAACATTTGGGAAAAATTTGCTGGTGACTGTTTCATCTTAGTAACTGGATGAATCTCCATGCCCTCAAAGCATACAGTCAAATCTGAGGGTCCTTCTCATGTCTTCTTCAATACTGCAAAGTGGGTGACTGTTCTAGATACAGTTCTCTACTGCTCAGTGTAGTTAGCTTGTTTCCATTCCTGACTGAATGGCTGTGGATGCAGGATTGGGGTTCAGATTTTCAGCTAAGTTCTGTTCTTTTCCCTCTCTGTCTCCCAGTCTCTTTCTTTCGAGGTGTAACTTTGATGGGGAAGAATTGATACCCACTTGATGTTTTTCAAATGAGTCTCAGCTTTCACATATAAATTAAAGAAACAAAAGTGAGGAAAATATTTGAAAAGGAGGCTGTTGGGACTGGACTTGTATTTAATTTCTGAAAGAACAAAACTTCTCAACCCTCTGAAACAAGTACAGCTATTTTAAGACTAAAATTTGATTGTTAATATATTGAGGAGTAAGGTTGTGCCTTTAAGTATACACCTATGTAATGTATAACTGTTGTGTCCAGGGAGGATTTTGGAGAAAAATCTATCAAACTTGCTACATTTTCTTTGCTTTCATGAAGAAATAATCTTTTACTGCTTTAATTAAGTATACAAAATACAGCAGTGGAGGGAGTAATAGTATTCTACGTTGAGGTATCATTGATAATGATTTTCGCTTTGACTTTGTACTTTCCCCTTTGTACTATCCCGTAGTAACCATTGAGTTGATATTGGATGTAGATGGAAGTGACTGTTGTGGTATTCTGAATTACGATGTATTATTTTAAACAGTAGTTCTAACACTTGTTCTAGAGCTGTCTGACTTAACTCTCTAGCGTTAAAAAAGAAAGCCTAAAGCTTTTTTGAAAGACTATACCTCCATTTTTACTAACATCAGACTAAGGCTGAGAAGAAATATTACCTTCCTCAGCACACAACCATAGAAATACGTTTTTCTATCTAAGTGGCTCCGTATAGTAGATGTGTTTACATTTTTACATATAGGTCGGAGACATTCAGCTTTGTTTTCTCAGCCCACATGTATTGCAAAACTAGAACATTAATACCACTTCCCTGAGATACCCAAGAAATTATCAAAACATGGAACTTAAAAAAACCTCAAACCACAGTAACAGGGGAAAAAATGAGAATAAAGGAAAACAGATCTGTTTATGAGGGGAAAAAGTCAGTGACTTGGGACTCTGGCATCTTCAGTTCAGTTCTGGGCTCAAGTGTAAAATTCACTTTTCACCCCAGGCAGCTCGGATTAGGTACTTTAGAAAATTTTACCTGATATCTAATCTGTGCCTGAATTTCCCATGTGTAAACAAAAAGTATTCAGCTTTCCTTTCAAAGGAACATCGGTAGATAAAGTCTATTAAAGATTGTGCAGAGCTCTGGTACTACAGAATATGAACTCTCTCAGAGGTGTTTTTGATGAGCATATAAGCCAAACATAACAATTACTTTATTACTGCTTTTTATTATTACCTTAGTGAAAATACTCTTGATCATAAATTAATTTTGCTTGTCTGTATTAATAGCAAAAATATAAAAAACAATCTTTAAAAAATAATCCTACAAATACTGTAGACTTGGGGCATTTTCATGGTTGACCAGCAATTACTTAACAAAATATTGTTTGGTGAAAAATGAAAAAATGGTGAAACGTGAATTTCTGTTCACTTGGCCAAACTGGAAAAAAAATCTTAAAGCCTTGGAAAAAGTAAAATCTTCTTTTCATGATGTCAATATGGAGCATCTCAACTTCTTTTATTCAAAACAACTTACACATTTGGCATTTGACTGAAATTTTAATTTAAACAGGATTATTTCTTCTGTGTCATTTGTTTGACACAGCTTGACACAAACCCCTAATTTTCTGTTTTGATCACAAATTATGTTTTCAAATTGTCCATTTGATGCAGAGTTTCACTATTTAGCAGGTTGAATAGGTAACGATTTAAAGAAACCACGCTTCAAGTTTCTGGGAGCAGGGAAGGTTATGCAATTGCGTTGCCTGTGCTGGGTAGCTAGACTTATGTTCCAGAACTTTACAGATTAAACTAAGAGCATTGTCAGGTATCCACGCTCCTCTGTCCTTGTCAAAACTTGAATGACTCTTGTAATCTATGAGTCATCCGCAATGAGAGTCAATCCTAGCAAGAAGAGTAATTCAAAGAGCATCTTTTCTCCTCTGTTGGTTATTTTCCCCATTCTTATTTCTTGTCTCTGACCAAATTAATTTCTTTCTAGCTTTGAACTTGAAAAGCTATGCCGATTTACTATGTCTGTAAAGAAGAATTATCGCCGTGTGCCGTACCACAACTGGAAGCATGCAGTTACCGTTGCACATTGCATGTATGCCATACTTCAGAACAACCAGGGGCTTTTCACTGATCTAGAGGTAGGTGAGATGATTGTATCAGTTACTAGACCTCATCAGAGGTATCAGCCATCGTAGAAGTACATTTTCTATGCTAGAGTTTTGCTGTCGGCTTGGGCAGAGTGTATATAAAGGTCCCTGCAGAGGAACGGGTGTGAGTAGAAAGCTTGAGGAAGGAGAATTATTCAGATTCCTAATCCTAGTGTTTCCTTCACGGTTTTCAGGTCTGCCCACTGAAGAAGCAGTAGCAGATTTGCTCTAAGTCCATGTCCACATTTTGAGGTTCTCCCTGCCCGCGTACAACCACAGTCCTTATTTTAATTATTTAACTAACTGTCAGATCTGTACTGAGGGGAGGGAAACACCCTGGATCTTGAACCCTGTGAGGTCTGGGAGATCCTGAATAGGAGGACAAGGGTTGCAGAGGTGGCTGACATATGTGTAAAAGGAGAAGAGTAGAAAGGATGGAAGGAAAACAGTTGTCCAAATGTGCTAATTCACTGACCAACTTTTATTATACAACAGTTTTCCTTAGCATGTGTGTACATATTCTAAAGATAAATGCATAGTGTTTAAAAAAATCAGGAAAAAAAATACTTTGAATAGATCACTAACTGGAAAAATTGTAATAATAAAATGGAAGGCTTAGAATCGTTAAATGTTAATATACACTATGAAGAACTGTCACTTGTTTTTTTGAATTATGGTACTGAGGGGAGGGAAACACCCTGGATCTGGAACCCTGTGAGGTCTGGGAGATCCTGAATAGGAGGACAGGGGTTGCAGAGGTGGCTGACATATGTGTAAAAGGAGAAGAGTAGAAAGGATGGAAGGAAAACAGTTGTCCAAATGTGCTAATTCACTGACCAACTTTTATTATACAACAGTTTTCCTTAGCATGTGTGTACATATTCTAAAGATAAATGCATAGTGTTTAAAAAAATCAGGAAAAAAAATACTTTGAATAGATCACTAACTGGAAAAATTGTAATAATAAAATGGAAGGCTTAGAATCGTTAAATGTTAATATACACTATGAAGAACTGTCACTTGTTTTTTTTCTGAATTATGGTAGGTGCAACTGGGAGTGCTGTCTATTATTAATACTACCTGAAACTTCTGACTGGGAGAACCTGGTTTCAGTTGTGTACTGCCATTTGGGCTGTAATTTTTCAAGCTCCATGATTTCCTCAAGCTGATTCATTTGGGGAAATTTCAGCCAAAATTGTTTGGCTCTTTTAAAGAAACATGCTAGGAGAAATCAAGTTTTTGTTGAGTGTATAAGAGTAAAATAAAATTTGGTGAGCTTTCATTTGAAAAGGTCTAGTTTATTCTGCTGTAAAGCAGGGACTTGAAAATTGACACTGAAATAGGAAAGTGGCATTTGCCAAGCACATGCTGAAATTTGGCAAAGCTATACAGGTTTGAAAAAATCAGTATTCCTTTAACAACAAAAATCTGGATTGCAGCCTCAGGGAATATTTAAAGCTCTGATAGCATTCAGTACTAACCAAGTAGTAAGCCCCATCTTTTTGGAGACACAGAGTAAGAAAGACAGGGAGAGCAAAAGAGGCAGCCGTTAAGAGAGATGGAAACAGCCTTTGTTCCCTGCCAAACTCCAGCCAGCCTTCACCTGTTTGAATGCCTTATCCCAGCCTATGTTCCAGCTCTTTCTAGCAGTCTCCTCTCTTGAGACTGGAGATGAATCCAACAAGAATACAGAAAACTGCTGAAGAAAAGTTTGGGGAACTAGGATGGGCTGGTCTCAGGTGAGGGATGATGACATGAACCTCGATAGACTTAGAGATGGGAAAAGAAGTATGAAACACTGTAAAGGGGACTCTGATCTAGAGACAAATAGATCCAGCAGTTGGCAGTGGTCAAAGAGTTGGGACCCAAGCAGGGACAATACATACAAGGTTAAGAGCACTGGGATTAGGCATGATATCAAAGAGTTGGGACCCAAGCAGGGACAATGCATACAGGGTTAAGAGCACTGGGATTAGGCATGATGTAATCCTGAAGGACTGAGACAAGAATGACTTCATGGGATGTGGAGAGTGGGACAAGCTAGACAAAGAGAACCATCTGGTACAAGGGACAGACTGATGAGAATTGTAAGACTGGAAAAAACACAGGTTGTAAAGGATGCAACAGGAGAATTAAACTTGTGAGGGAAGGACAGAAAAGCTTATGCCCACTAGATCTAACATGTAGCACAAAGGATTCTGAGACTCATCTTTCTTTTGCTGTCAGAGACTGTTTTTCAAGTCTATTGGTTACATGTCTTGCCCCCCCGACAGTAGTAAAAAGGGGATACCAGCTTCCTACAGCTGTTACTGCACCACTTCAAGTAATTCAGGTGTGTGTTATGTTCCTAAGGGTTCCACTTCTGCTGAGGATCTGTGGATGTGTGCTGCTGCATCATCTGTTTTATTATGTGCTTTTTAAAAATGCACTTCACAAGATGCAATATTGAAAAGACATCATTAAAAATAAAAGTGAAGGATTTAAAATAAAAGTGAAGGTCTCAAAATCAGAAATACAGTTAGGGTTGCTACAACCTTAATTCTGAACATTGTATACCTGTGATAAAATCTTTAGTTACATCATTGTTTGCTATTTTTCCACAGAATCATGTGCCTCTTAGTACAGTATACAGGTTGGATGTTGCTCACTTGATAGGTGGCTAATCAGTATTCTTTTTCTGCTTCATTTTATAGCCTTTTCCTTGTTTACTGAACACTCATCAAAACCAACTATAAGACAGAGCTGTTAAGTCTATAAAGACATTTTAGTGATAGTCCATGCTGACAGTGACCACCTCACAAACGTTAATGAATGTGTTTTCAAAACACACCTGCTGTGTGAAAAACTTTTGCAAGTGCTCACGTATTTTGTGTGTTGAAAGAGAGATTTCAGGGACTCCATTTCTTCTCTATTAAGAGTTAACTAAATAAAAAAAATCAGTTTTTACAGTCTTACTTTGTTTGCAATTGCCATTCTCCAGCGTTTCTGTGGCTCATATTAGTGACTTCCTAGGAAAAGTTTCACCTAGGAGACTTGGTCAGTGTCTTCAAGGAGTGTTGCAGAGGCAGGTCTAGCATCGGACTTTGGTGCAGCTGCCTTGACCAGGAGATCATACATCTTATGTATATCCTCTCCCTCAATAACTGCACTTTTTATTTTTTTAATAAACATGGTAAGGATTCAGTGGATGACCAGACTATTTGTTTAAAACTCAGATTTCTTCCTGAAGCAGAATCCCTCCAATAGTATGTGATTGTGGAACAATGTTTTTTAAATTCGTAATATATAAAAGGTTTGAATTACAATTGGACTGAGAATTTTAATTCAGCACGTCACTTCCGTGTTTCTTGCAATTTTAAGGATGTTTCTCCATGTGCTTTTTGAAGGCAGTGAAGCTTAGTGCAACTTTGACAGTATTTTGGGAAGAGAGTGACATCTAGGGGCAGGAAATACATCTTACTTTTCATGTTTATCTCAATTTTTTTGTAGCGAAAAGGTCTTTTAGTTGCATGCCTGTGTCACGACCTGGATCACAGAGGTTACAGCAACAGCTATCTTCAGAAATTTGATCACCCCTTAGCTGCCCTCTATTCCACGTCAACAATGGAACAGCACCACTTCTCGCAGACTGTGTCCATCCTGCAGGTAGGATTATTGAAATTGTATCTTCTGTGCAGTAGAGTCCAGTGGTGGAAATAGGAGTCACATCATTACCCAGTAGATTTTCTGAAGCATGCTTAATTTCATTTCTGGATTGTAGTGCTCATTTAGAAGAGAGGAAGATTTATTACAGCAAGCCGGGTTCCACAATTAGCAACCCAAGCATTCAATGATAGTGCAAAACGTAGCTTCCCCAAAATCTTGATGTTATTAAAAATATTGTGTATTTGAAGGTCTTTGCTTAAGGCCTTCCTTTGGAGCTTTTAGCTCCTGGGTAAATGAGGGTTTTTCCTATGACCATATGGAATAGGAACTTTGAAAATGAAAAATCAGTTTCTTGCTTACTTAGATATTTCCGGCATAATGTGCTTCAACAAAATCTTCAACCATCCTGAAATTCTGAATAAAAACTCAAGTACTGGCAAAAGTTTGCATGAGAAGCTTGAAAACCTGCTGTAATAAATTCTGTGAACATTAAATGTGTGGCATGAAGGAGGAAATGTTAATTTTGCACGCATGGAAAGTTTAAACTTGTTTCATTATGTCATCGTGTGCTTTTTTGTTATTCAGCAATTTGAAATAAAAAAAACTGAGTAAGGTAATGTTCTATGAAAGAGATTTCCTAATATGAGGTGAGGTGTCTGTATGTTTAATGAATAGAAAACTACAAGAAAGCATGCAGACACGTTTTGGGAAATCCAAGTGTGCTACTGATGCACAGATATTTTCATCGGTGAAAGTCATCGTGTGCTTTTTTGTTATTCAGCAATTTGAAATAAAAAAAACTGAGTAAGGTAATGTTCTATGAAAGAGATTTCCTAATATGAGGTGAGGTGTCTGTATGTTTAATGAATAGAAAACTACAAGAAAGCATGCAGACACGTTTTGGGAAATCCAAGTGTGCTACTGACGCACAGATATTTTCTCATCGGTGAAAATTTTTTTTCATGCTCGACTAGAGAAGAGTGAGAACTCTCACCGATGAAACCACTGCCAGTCCATAACATACTTGTGCTCACCGGTTTTAGTCTACCATGCACATGCTCAATGCACAGCCTTACCATACTACTGTGCCACTAATTCATTGTTAACTTTTCTTTCTTTCTGGTCTTTCAGGGGGAAGATATTTATTTTCTTAAATACCTAATCACCTTTTAGGAAAAATACATATTCTGTATTGTATTCAGAAGCACATCTTGTGATTATGGTTTTAGGTATCTCATACATTTCATCAGAGAATGGAAGCTTTATCTCTGAATGCTCCTCCATGTAGGGGAGGGTGTAATTGAATCCTTCAGTGGTGGTATGGCATTAGATTTTTAGTATTCATTCTTCATGTGAGTTTGTGCACAGTGAGCAAGTTCCTCAGTCATTAACACTTCCTTGTCCCACTATGGCTACGTGAAGCAGACTTCAGTCATTCTTCAAAAACCATTTTGCATTTTTCCTGCAGAAATGTTGTAATCGGTGAAAGTCCCATTTGCCAAGAAGGCAGGGAACCCTTTTGCTTCCCTGCTACCTCCTAGCCTTGGCCGTCAGTGTGAGTGAGGAAAGGGAGATAGGTCATCAGGGCTGTAGGGTGGATTCAGACACGGGCTACCCAAGTGCCCACGGGTGGTGATTAGCAGCAAAGACAATTTAGAGCAGCCTTTTGGACTTGCTGGTTTTTGTTTGAATCAAAAAGCCTTACTGAATTCCTGGACTGTTACAAAAAAAAGCCCATCAACCCACCAAACCCTTTAGGGTTTATCTCAATGAGTTTTAATTTTATGTGAGTAACCTGCAGTACTTTTCACTGTTTGGAACTTTATAGCTGCTTTGCTCATCCACCTGCAGTTCTAGTGTACACCATACTTACGAATACATAGGATTCTATTCACTAGCTTTAGCTCAGCAGGGAAAGAATAAAACGTTAGGAGCTGTACTTTGAATGTACTACTCAAAAGCCTAAGTGACATGCTCAGAAATGGCAGCTTCTGTCAGTACTTAACAGAATCAGTTCTTTTCTAAGTAGTATGAACAGAAGCTGTCACAGTGGTCTTTCTGATAGTGCAGCTTCTAAAACCTAAAGAACAGAATCTAGAATAATTTAAATATTAGGACAAATAGCCTGTTCTCATGGATTAGGCAGCAAGGTTGGGGAGGAAAGGGTCCCCAAAACCCTAAATCATGAAAACTAGTAGTAGTCATTTCCTGCTCCCAAAGTGTTGATGATGGGTTAAAACGTTCTGAACTTTTTTTTTTAAAATATCATGTTCTATGACTTAGGAGTCTGTCAAAGGAGCATTGAGTCATAGACGGATTGTATTTTCTATTCGTTATTCACAACAAATCTACTTGTCCAAGTAAAAATACTGGAACCCTAAATCATGAAAACTAGTAGTAGTCATTTCCTGCTCCCAAAGTGTTGATGATGGGTTAAAACGTTCTGAACTTTTTTTTTTAAAATATCATGTTCTATGACTTAGGAGTCTGTCAAAGGAGCATTGAGTCATAGACGGATTGTATTTTCTATTCGTTATTCACAACAAATCTACTTGTCCAAGTAAAAATACTGGAAAATGACGTTTACGTTCCGGATGGTGAGAGAAACCAAGCCTATTTGTACCACAGAGGATTTATTTTGAACAAATTATGTAAATGCTTGACAAAAGTGAGGGAAACTTTTTATGAGCTTCAGCCCAAATGCCAATTAAATGTCAAAACACATCTGCTTTTGATATATTTTAATAATATTTTCTATTTGTGAATGTGCACACCTTGACACGGCTGGCTCATTCTTTCTTATTTTTCTCTGTTTCCTCTCAACAGTAGGAAGACTTTTGACAAGTTGTTTTCCAAATCTTAGAGGAAGCGAATAGTGTTGACTTTTCAAAATGTGATGTAGCTTCACGAGCGATCATAGCACATGGATATTGTCAGTTAAATGTGCAATAATACATAGTGGAAATTGAAAAGGGAAGACAGTAGCATGTTGCCAGAACCTCCGTAGTGGAAACCGCTGTCTTTAGTTTATAAGTCAGTCAACTTATGGTTGAACAAAGCAGCTTTTTCCCCTAAATGTTCATATACATTAAAATACTGTAATTAACTTTATTTCTATAGAGAAAATTGTATCGGTAAATGCAGCAATTTCAGGCACATTTCATGTGGAACACTATGAAAACAAAATTATTTTAGTACTTTAACTTGGATATTTCCTTATCCATATTATGTGTTATGAAGTATCAACATTGTACTTCAGAGTGAATCAGACACTCAGTTTACCAACTTGGCAATGCAGTGCTCTGGATCAGTATTGAATCACAAGTTCCCAAGCTAATACTGTCAGGAAGTGCTGTGTCTGTAGTGCTTATAAGTCAGAGAAGAAAAAGCTACCATTTTTCTCTATTAATACCTTTAGGCTTCAGAAGGAGCAGTCCCAAAACCGAATCAGTGGCTTAGTCATAGGTTTCATGACAGTATTTAAAAAGGAAAGGTAAAAATGGGAATTTCAGGCTGTCAACATTTGAATTTGCAACAAAAATTGTCATTGGGCTGTAAAACCATTGTAACCTGTCTGGTGAAGTAAAGACTGAAATCATCTCAGAATTAGAGCTTGTGCTTTTTATTGGTTTTTTACTTTTTCATAGCTGGAAGGGCACAATGTCTTCTCCAATCTGAGCTCCAGCGAATATGAGCAAGTACTTGAGATCATCCGGAAAGCCATCATCGCCACAGACCTTGCCCTGTATTTTGGAAATAGAAAACAGCTTGAAGAGCTACATCAGACGGGAGCATTAAACCTTAAGAACCAAGCACACAGGTAAAGCAGCAAACCAGTATTAGTTCACTATGGCATTAGTCCTAGAAAGAAAAACCGTATTTTTGAAAAAAAAATCTCTGTGTACACAGTAATTTTCTTACAGTGAGATTTCTAAGACCAGCTGTGTGTAAAATTCCAAGGATGTAACAGTAATTTCCATTGTTTTATATTTGCATGTCACTGCCTTTGGGGGTCATCTGCACAGTTCAGTGACAGATCATCTGCAGAGGAAAGTTAGTGCACAGGCAGTTAGGTGGTGGGGAAAAAGGTATAGCGCAATAATTACTTAGTTTTATTTTTATGTCAATATTTTTATTATTCTGTTAACATGCTTTTTTGGAAAAAATTCTGGTCAGATCTCAACCTTTGTGAATTAAGATAGCTCTAAGTTTTAAAAATATACAAGTGCATATATTCCTATTCATAAACACATGACTCTGTCCACGTAAGCAAAACATAGCGCACCCTGGATGAGAGATGTGTCTCGTAACAGGCTTCGTTAAAGGGCTCATGCAGCCCTTCAGAGCTTCTTTACTGGAAAGTGGATCCTGTCATTAATCTAATGCAGGGAAAAATTAGAGAGGTATATGGGAAAATATTGAGTCGTGATTCTGATTTCTTTTCAGAAGGAACTTTGGTACTTGGGTCTTCTTTCTGAGGAGTTTTACAGGGTTTTGCCAGTAGTTTTGAGTAAATTATTACAACGCTGTAGGAAGGGCAGTTTTTAAAATCTTATTTCCCAGTATGGAACTGAAGCTTATCAGACTTGAATAAACCTCAACTTCTTAAAAAGACAAAGATATAGTAGCTGCTGATAATCAGAATGAAATTTACCAGAAATTTTGAATTTAGGGTTTATAAAATTTAAATAGGATCACAACTATGTAGTGTGTGATTGAATTTTCTGGTTTTTTTTTTTTTTTAATCTTTCCTGCCCTCAGAGCATTTTCAGTGCAAAGCCACGTTCCCGAGGATAGGACATCAGCTTGTAATGTGGCTAAAGAATCCAAGACTTCTAGTTGGTATCTGTACATGCAATGGAATGCTAAATTTGGCCCTTACGTGGCTGATGAATGCTCTTTCTTAACTCAGGGGAATTGCACTTTGCCATTTATTTATTGATTATATTGTGTATTTGTGTATTTTCCCTGGTGTATTTGTCTGTTGGTACAGTTATAATGACTGCCATCACATTGGCATGCAAGTTAGCAGGTTGTGTGCTTTTTTCATGGAATAGGCATTATTAACAAAGATGCAGGTGTCCTTAAGTGCCATCTTAAATTCTCCATTGGGTGGAAAACACATGAATTCAATCATTAATTTGCCAGTTTTCTTTATAAAACTTAGATTCATAAACCATAGGTTTGGGTAGTAGGCGAATACTAGAAAACTGTTTAAATAAGATTTTTTTTTGTGTGTGTGTGCCTTATTCTAATAATTATTATAATTCTACTGAAGCTGTTCAGTTATTCTGTGGACAGGTTCGTCAGTGTATAGGACAGAGTTGTGTGTAGGATTCTTGTTCTGCCTGTCAGGGTTAGAATTCATTCCAACAAAGCAATGACAGAGTACTTTGAGATAGACTCAGAACTAGTTTTTCCTCTTTTTGGAGCATGTGTTCCTCTCTTTAAAGAACAGAAGGGAATGCAGCAACAGGATATGCCACCTTTCTTTTTATAGACTTGTACTGTATTTTCAGAAAATTAAGGAGGGGCATGCGAGTGTTTCAACAGACAGGCATTCTTGTGTACTTTTCTATGAATGTGATTCTGCAGAGGATGGTCAATGAACTCTGGTTGCAAACAATACAGGGAATACTACAGGGAATAAAATATACAATTTGTGTGATGCCTTATCAATGAATCATAAACAAGTGAGGAAGAAACAAGCAAAGTCGGAGCAATTTAATAGTATATATACTTTACTGCCGGTTGAACTGAGGAAGGGCAAATAAAAACTTTGCAGTGTGGTCATTAATTCTTTACCAAACTTACAATTTAATGTTGTTTTACTTCAGAGATAGAGTGATTGGTCTGATGATGACGGCTTGTGATTTGTGTTCTGTAACAAAGTTGTGGCCAGTTACCAGACTGACAGCCAATGATATATATGCGGAGTTCTGGGCCGAGGTATGTGTGTTTCTTTGGTTTACTCTCCTTATAAATGGAAGTATCCAGGAATAGAAAAACAACCATAAGTATTTTTCAATCGATATCTTAGCGTGCTTGTTTTAAAGAGTGTTCATTGGTGCGTGCACGTGTTTTGTTGTTTACTCTGAAGCTATTTAAAGAGCCGAGTTAGCTTCCTGATTTTCAGGCAACGTTTTTTCTCTCTGTTAAAGATGAATTTAGAAAGTATGTCCTAACATGAAGTGACCAAGCAACAGAATACAGAAGAAAATCTCTAAGGTTTTTTGAGTCACTAACTGTAGTTTTGTGAAGGATCTATTTGTATTCTAGAAATCCAAAATATGAAACCAGCTTCCAGCTCAGCTGCCTTTTAACACACTTATAAAGCTGTAGTATGAGTCCAGGAAATGCTAAAGCAAATATGACAAACCTTTAAAATTGTTCTGATCCGACCATTTGAACCTTCTTTATGAGCCAGCTCAACAACTGGGTCTCAGAGAGAGCTGATTTTTTAATATACTGAAAGTAACTCCACAGATAAGATGTACTGAGAATTGAAACAAGGCATTGAGCTGTGTTAATATAATCATGTTCATAAATAAAGATGCAATCTCTCACGTGTCTTATGCTGAGGAGTAAATGTTCTAATCGTTTAATTTTTAAAGTGGAAGTGACTACTTTAGGGATAAGGAATAAATTCTGAGGGTGTTGCATAGAGTTGAATTATGCAGTTTTAGAAGATACGCTGTATTTTCAGAACTACTATTGCACATTTGTATCATAAAGTGTTGTTCTTTTCTGTTATGTGCCCTGTGGAAGTCTGCAGAATTCAGTGGGCTTATTTCTGTTTTACACAGGTGTAAAATGGAAATCGGGCCCCACAGAGTTGATGTAGCATGCACGTAGTGTGCCTGTTGCATGTTCATTATGAAATTCAAGATGTGCATGGCTTGTGGGTGTTTCTTGTATTCACGTTCTCTTTCTCTTACGAACAGCTCAGACTACAATAAAATATTTGAAAAATGCAGACTGTATAAGCTCAAAGATCTAGTACAGTACTCACTTTCTAAAATGTCATCACTGGAAAATGAGTGTTCTTATGAGTGATATAATGGAGGTATAACGTTGATGTGTCTCACTGTACATACTCAACTTTTTTGCTTACAAGTAAAATGACTTTTTAATGCAAATCTTATGAACTCAGTGGAGAAGGAAGGATCAAACTGATTTTTCCTACTCAACAATACTAAAGATGGAATTATGGACATAATTGAGCCTGCCCAGACTTTAAACTGTTTTGTAATCCAAGGATGAGTTAATAAAGGTGGATCTTGTTTTATTGCTACTTCATGGAGCAAATGTAAATTAGAAGTTATTGACAGAAATTTAATTCTGTAATTGGTGTTTTACTGAATCCTCTTTAAGAAGAGGTTAACTGATACATGTCAGAAGTTGGATATGTTGTGATCCAGTCAGGATGGCTGACAAATCTAGCCACAGGTCTAAACGCTTCTGGAAACTGGAAGCTGGAGACAGATATAGAGAAAATCCTGGGAAAGGTAAACCAATAGAAAGTTTAGATTGTGTTTCACTGCAGAAATTGTTACTTAGCTGGGAAAAAAGGTAAACTCTAGAAAAGTATATTTGACTAGATTGAATGGTTATGTTACAGTTCTGAAAGTAGGATAGAATGTTGCTTCTAATTACTACTTGAGTTCATAATCTTAATATGTTGAATTATTTCATCAGAGCATTTTTATAATATTTCTCCTCTGTGTAATTATTAACTAAAACAATAACTGCAGAAAAGGTTGCAGCAATTTTGTGGTATGTCACACTGACCTTTTTTCATTGAACGAAGCCCAGTATAGCTAGTGTTTTCAGCTAAGATCTACCTTGATATCACTCTGCATGAAGCTTTCCCACAGTGCTGTAACTGAAGCAAAATAACACATTTGCTGATCAATTATATAGGATTACAAGCTTGTATAAGATCTGTCTGCTGTGATTTTTTTGTGAGATGTGAGACACTAGGCAGCTGTTAAACACTTTCTGCAGTATTTTTGTAAGAGACTTATAGTCCACTTATTATAGCCATACTGCAAGTATGACACAAACTTCTTTGCTTAAAATTTCAGCTTTAACTTTCTGATCATGATCATAACTATGAGGATAAAAACAGTATTTTTTACAACAGTGTGTCATATATGTGTTCACACATACTGAAGACAAGAAAACACTTGTGTTTCTAGTGCATGCGTTCCATCTAAACGTAGTACATTTTTACGGTGAGGGTGGTCGACCAGTGGCACAGGTTGCCCAGAGAGGTTGTGTAGTCTCCGTCATTGGAGATATTCAAAACCTGACTGGACACAGTCCTGGATCACCTGCTCTAGCTGATCCTGCTGGGGTAGGTGTGTCGGATGGATCGGATGATCCCAAGAGGTCCCTTCCAACCCAAACCATTCTGTGATTCTGTGATACCTTTTTCTTTCAAGATGAAATCGCGAACATAAATCTGAGCTTCGTTCAGTTTTGGCATAATCTGTCAGAGGCTGGACAGCTTCCTCAAAGCTCTGACTTCAAGTGTTTTTCAGGCACTTGATATTATGTTAATCAAAGAGCTTAAAATCATATGATGCTAAATGGTTTAGTGTTGAGGTTCTTATCATTGAGACTATGGTAGCTGCAGACAGTCCTGGATCAACCAATTGCAGTACTTCAAGCAAATGGAAAAAAAATAAATATTATTTACTGGGAACACATAAAAACAAAATTTGCTTACAGTTCCTAAGTAACAATCCACTGAATTTCTGTGCTTGGAATTGTTACAGGCATCTTTTTTTGTCAGCTGAGGAAGGAGGCCTTTCCTTTTGTTTCTTTCAACAGTAAAATGTCTAACAGAGACTAGATTCGATGATTCTAGCCTGTCTAACTACTTGGTGAAAGAGATATGTGATATGAGAGAACAGTACAGACACCAATTAAAAAATAGCTTCCTGATTACATCTCTTGTTGGTTAACTGAGCAGGATCATAGCTAATAGGTGATGTTGAGGCCAAATATGCAAGAGGGAACTGACTTCCAGAAGCCCCCGTCTTTTCTACACTCAAGGTAGTTGCAAGGCAGTCAAACAGAATGATGCTCTGCTCAGACCAGGATCAATTCATTTTATTGCAAACTTCTCTTTGAGTAAAAGTACCAAAATCCTCCCTTGGAAGGGCACGTTGGCACTTGAAACGTGGCTTGATAGAATCTTATGAGAAAGATGTAATAAATTGTCTCCTGGAGATGCCTTCACTAACTGTAGCAGAAACACGTGGATTTAGGGAACATCCCAAGCTTTCAGATAGCTAAACCTCTGTAAGCTGAATCTCACATTAAAGGACACCAGATAAGCAAATATTGTATGAGCTATTACCCTGCATAAACTTTCTCCCTAACTAAGGCGTGTTGGGTCTGGCTGGGATGGAGTTAACTTTCCAAATAGCAGCCCTCATAGTGCTGGCACTGGCTCTATCGGACATGGGGGAAGCTTCTGGCATCTTCTCACAGAAGTCACCCCTGTAGCCCCCCTGCTACCAGGACCTCGCCACACAAACCCAATACATAAGGTTAGCAATTTGAAGATCACATTGACTTTGGAATCTCAGACATGAGCAGTAGCCAAAAGCAACCATTGCTATGGCTGTAGTTGCCTTTATAACCTCAAGATCAAACATCCGTGGTGTTTTGACAACGCAGTTGAGGCATAAGACTTGGAAAACTTCAATTTGCTACAGAAAGTAGCCAGCTACTTATGGATTTTTAGGGAGTAATTGTGTTCAGGCCCAGAATAGGGCTCAGAAATGTGTTTTGGCTGCTCTGCTGGTAATGGGTGAAATATAAGGAGGCAGTTTTCTCTTGTACATTACATATATCTGGTCTTTGGATATACTGCATCTTTCCCAGTATTCCTTTTATGAATGTAGAGGGATAACGTACTTAAAGAAAAGAAGGCTGTTTGACAGGCAGCTTCTTCAAAGCAGCATGGTCAAAAAGACTGGATTGTTGAAAAAGAGGGCACATTGTAAATTCATCTGGTTTACTCAGCTTTTCCTTGGATGGGTGAGTTGTGTTCTACTGGTCATTGCATTATAGTGCTTTAAACAGGTAATGTTTTGAAAGATGAGACCAACTATGAATAGAACAGAATAGAATGAACTGATTTTTTTGGTTTTATTCTTCCAGTTGCTTTTTATTATGGAGACGCCCTCGGAAACAAGGAAAATGTGTGTACATTGACTCAAAAACTTTCAGGATCTGCTATTTACATTATCATTTAGGTGAATGTATAAAGTGAGCATCTCCTTAGGCAGTTTTCTGAGATTGCCTTAGACCGGTACCACACATCATTTTAAATTCTGGAGTTTTAGATTGACATACAATAGAACATGGAAATTAGTTCAGATCTCAGTAGTCTTGATGTTTTTTTTTCCCTAATCTCTCTCTCTGCTTTTCTCCAGGGTGATGAAATGAAGAAAACGGGTATTCAACCTATTCCTATGATGGACAGAGACAAGAAAGACGAAGTCCCTCAGGGTCAGGTATGAACTCTCTCTGTAAAATGACACGTTTTATAGTGTTAATAAAACATGTATGGAAAAACCATTTTATATATTAAGGAATATTTCATTTGACGTTAGGGTATGTGGGCTACTGAATTCTATGTTCTGCATGCAAGATAGGGTGAATTTTTTTAAGTAGCAGTGGAAAACTTGTTTTCAAAGACATTACTTAAATGACAATGTGCTCTTTGCTGTTGTCACCTGTTCCATTCTTTGTACTTGTAGCTCCAGCTAAACCCACAATCACCTACGATTTTGAGAAGTGTCAATAACACTTTTTCTACTTTGTAAGTGGTTGCTTCAGCCCTTAGCTAAAAGGGTTCGCTGTTTTATCCTGAATGCAAAATTAACTTTGTCACCTGTTCCTGGTTAAAGTATCCAGGTTCAGATTTCAAAATATTTGTAATTTTAGACCACTACTTCTTCATTACTTTTTTGAAGAACTATAAACACTGCCTTTTGACATTCCTAAAAAAAAAAAAGAAGAATAATGTGAAGAGTTTCTTGAGGATAAGCAATAAAGGGTGTATTTCTAAGACCCTCAATTGTCTGTTTTTCAAAGTCTTTGGGTACTGATTTTCCTGTGCACAAATGTACAGAAATTACTGCTTTTTTTATGCTTTCCTTAGGGAAAATTGGTATTTTGTAAACAGAAATTTGAGGGGGAAAAAAAGGTCTTTGGACTAACTTTTTTGGGTAAACGAAACAGGTAGCTTGTCCTTTGATTATCTGAGCAGAGAAGAAGAAATTTAAATTGTCCATTGTCCATTCATATACATAGATATATGTACAAGTTGGGGTTTTTTTTATTTCAGTGGCCTCTGATGCTTTGATTATCAGTAGTCAGCACTTGCAAAGCATTTCATGAGCTCTGAAATTAACAATAATATTTAAAATAAATATGAAATGACAAAGTATCACAAAATCATTGTAGATTAATTACTTGGTAAGCAAGACTATGGAAATTTTTATATTCTGACACTTTACTCCATATGCTCTATCATATTTTAGCATTAAAACTATTACCCTTGTTATAGTAAGGAATTAGCAGTTGATTTACTGAATTTGTATGTTTAGTATAAGCCTAAAAAGAGAAGAAACACTTTTCTGCATTTGGTTTATTTTTCCATGCACTATATTAGTTATCTTTGAACATCTTGAAAAGTACACAGTATTATGGTATGTAGTCATCTTGGCATTTGTGAAAGAATTGTTAATGGGGTGAAAGCACAGATCTAAGAAATAAACTGGTTTTTTTCCTCTTTAAAACGCAATAAATATTGTTCCAGGTACTGTCTTCATCAGGTTCTTTTTTACTTTGTGCTCTGTTTCATGCTTCTTAATAGTATAACAGTAAAATATTAAGCAAAATAGGACATTAAAAGCCAGCTTCAGTAGTACAGTTGTAGCTGCTGTATCTTACAACAACATTACAGCAAAATGTGAGATTAAGGACCTATATAATTCTGTGAAAGTAACCAGTCCTATCTTTATGTAGAGACTGAAGAATTTAATAAAGCATTATCATCCATTTCCTTGGGCTCTAACAAAAAGCATTAATGAGTATTTTTATGTGGATTTTAATTAAAGCATTAATACCTTTTTTAAATGACAGTGATGTTTAGGAAATGAGGATTTGTATAAACATGTAATCTCTGAAAAAAACTACTTCTGCCTCAAGTACTCATCTTTGATGAGAATAGCTTGTACATATCTCTTCCTCTCAGTTGGGTGGCTGGATCAGTTGGTCTCTGTTGTGCTTCACACCCTTTGCAGCACAACTCATGTAAGGTCTCTGAGTTTGGTGTCTTCCTACTGTGGAACCTGCACTGCAGATTTGTTCCTGACTCAGCAAGGATCCCATCACCCTCTTTTCTGCCCCTCCTTTTGGAACCTGTGAAGAAAACAGAAATGCCAAAACTATGCAGTGACCTGAAAGCCCTTTTGATAAACAAGTCAAGGCAGCCTGAGTAATGAAAGGAGAGAGAAGGAACGGTTCACGTGCTTCAGCCATTCAAAGCTTATCCCAGAAATACAGTTTTCAGGTTGAAAATAAAAGGTTTATCATCATTATTATCATTAAAGATACAGCTCTTAAAGCTAGCAGTATGTTTAGGATGCATAGTTTGAAGAGACAGGAACAATTTAATTCAGAAACAAAAGATATTCTCTAGTTCTTCCTTCTTCTGCGTCTTAGGTTATACGTACACTGCCTTTCCTGCAGTGACTTCAATAGATTGCTCATATCTGAGTGAACTCTAGGCTTTCTGTCTAGCCACAGCAACATGAAAATCAGTCTGGAATAATTTATTCAGATAACCTAAACTTTTTACAAAAGGGATTTGTGTGAGTTTGCTCTGGTCAGAAATGGAAACTTTTGCAAAGGAATATCTTTAGTTAGCTTGGCTTTATTCAAAACCAAAATCCATTGAGCCTTTTAGGTTTTTCTTCCTTGATGTGCATTTTAACTTAAAAGCTTTCAGGACCTTAAAGGACACATTTTATTTTCGATACCAGGGTTCCAAAGAGAAGGTTGTTCGGAATATATTGCAGATGAACTTAGTTTGGTTGAAATCTTTTATGTTTTGCAATGGCAACTCACTTCTCATTGAGTAAGAAAGTCTACAGCGTGACTGTACCTAAGGTCCCATTTAATTTTTGATAGCTATGGAGTAATCTGCTATTTTCCAGTGAAATAAAATATTCCCCCTTAAAAACAAATAAACAAGACAGAAAAACGCAAGGAAAAACACATAGGAAGAAAACAATGCATTATGCAAAATAGCAAACTTTTTGTTGATGAGCAGACATCACAGCTGTGTGCAGCCTTGCCTTCTCACCAGCTGCAGTTTCTTTCTATCAGTTACATCATGATTACTTCAACTCAGACTATTGGGTTCTCAGGTCAGAAAAGGTATCTTATTTTTTTTAAAGTACAGAACGGACTTGGTTACATAGCAGTATGGGAGGAATCTCTGCATTGATGGAGGTGAGGACAAGAGTTGCTCTTCAATTTCTGAATAAGGGCCAATGTTTAGACTGTTAAAAAGAGACTTCTTATCAAATGCTTTGGTCACAGTATAATACGTGGTATTTCACTAAAAGGCATTCAAAAACTGTGCCCAAAGAAAGGGATCATAGTGCACTACTGTAACTATCATGAGAGTCTGGGATAAATGAGTGATGTTATAATGGATCTGAATTTAACCTGTCATCCTTGCTAATATATAAGTAGCATTTTCTAAAAATTCCTTCGTGTCATGACAGTTCAGCTGTGACATGGTGGCTGTCATAGGCCCCTAAGCCTGTATGAATCAGATATCGTTAAAAAGGTGCTCATTTGATGTTCTCTAAATAGATTTGTATGATAAGGGTAAAAATATATCACTGAACCGCATACATGAAGAAATTGCAAACCAATTATGATCACAGTTATATAAGTAGCATTTTCTAAAAATTCCTTCGTGTCATGACAGTTCAGCTGTGACATGGTGGCTGTCATAGGCCCCTAAGCCTGTATGAATCAGATATCGTTAAAAAGGTGCTCATTTGATGTTCTCTAAATAGATTTGTATGATAAGGGTAAAAATATATCACTGAACCGCATACATGAAGAAATTGCAAACCAATTATTGATCACAGTGCACATCTTTTAGAAACTTTCCAAAGGTGCAAAGCCCCTACCATCTCAAGTAAATTGAGCTATGGAATACATACACTGGAGGACATCAGAACAATCCAGAATCTGACCATATTTTGGCAATGCTGCACAACTTTCCTTTTTAAAAAAAAAATAAATTTTGTCACAAGAATAACGTTTGCAGAAATGGCTCTGCCATCTGCGCCTACTTCCTGCCACTACTGACACCAAAAAGCCAGACAGATCCTAAGCAAATCAATTGAATCAGTTGAATAATAAAGGGTCCTGTAGAAAATCCTATCTGAAGCAGCCATATTAGTCATAAGAGAAAGGCATGTAAGCAACTTGTAATTGCCAGAGACTTCATTGTTAGTGCTTCATTTTAAAGTATTCAGATATTAAGATAAGATGCAGAAGCATGAAGTACTAACATAAGTAGTAATTAAGTAAGTATTCAACAGCTTTGAGCTAGTTGGCTGTTAACTTTCAGTGTTGTAGTTTGGCAACATTTAACTTTTTTTTTTTTTCATTGCTGTTTTTCATAGATCGGGTTCTACAATGCTGTAGCCATCCCATGTTACACCACACTAGCACAGATCTTTCCTCCAACCGGGCCACTACTCCGAGCGTGCAGGTGAGTGAATGTGCAAGTTTTTGCATAGTGTGTAGCTTGGTTAAAGAAAAAGCAAACATGCTTTGCAAGTTTGTCTGGAAATACAAACTTTTAATTTTTGAATTTGCATGCAGATAAACAGGGGTACACATATCGCATTAATCTATGCAGAAACCCAGAGGCAGTAACTACTGGCTGAGACTATCCAGCGCAGATCTACAGACACAGCTGACTAAAATGTGTTTGACACCAAAAGCATTTAGGGAGAAACAGGTTCAGTGCTTATGTATCCCTATCTAGGCTGGTTTAGTGCAATTTCCCTTTCTGTCCTTTCTACTTCAACATGGTTCTCACAACTAAGATTGGCTAGAATTCTGTTTCACTAAGAAAATGTGGTTTTGGCATGTGGTTTTATTTCATGTCAGAACATTTTTATTCAAAAGCAGAAAAAGAAAGATCCCCAGAATATTCAGTAATTGGAAGCATAAGGGTAGTACCACTGGGGTGTGGGAGAGGCAAATGTAACTTTGTCCTATCAATCAGTTGGGTTGTAAATTGGGTCTTCTGGAGGAGAGTCAAGGGTCCTTAACCAATTGGCTGCTTCTACCCTGCAACGATGGTGGATCTCTTTGTAGGTAGTTCTGTCCAATAATTATATCCTGGACCTTAGCAATCTTTCCTGACAAAAATTCTGTTGAAAACAGGTATGCTTCATGAAAATGTTGCAGTTTCAGGTTAATCAGTATTCCCTAAGGAAAAACAGTTGGTTCATAAAATGCCAGCAATCTTTAGTCACATCCAGGGAAAAGAGGCCTGTTTTTTCTATGCTTTTACTAGCACCTCTCTCATAATCTTTTTTTCCTCTTGTGGTCCTTAAATTCTAGCTTGCATTGAACTTTTTCTTTGTCCTGTGTGGTACAGATCTACCTGCTCTGTCACTTTCCTGATCTTGTGGGCTAAATGATCTGTGTGAAGTAACAGAAGGGTGCCCGCTGTATACAAAACACCGTGAAATTTAATGTAGTGGTTAGCAAAATAATTTCATTCGCACCCAAACACTATTTCATATAGCTGTGAGAAGAATACGTAGGTCTGTACCAGTGGGAAAGAGGACTATCTTATGAAAAACAGTGAGTATCTAGGGGCCATCATTAATAGTCAGCTGCCTCTAAGGTCCTGCTGCTGGACATGGCTGTGCAATCCTTAGATGGATATGGAGGGAATACTAAGTAGGATTAGAGACTATACCTCTGTAGTTATTACGTTAATGGGGCTACAGCTGGAATCCTGTTTAGCGTCTGTGCTCAGAGTAGATAAAGACACTAGCCAATAAGAGAAGATTAAGAAAGAACTTAAAGAACGTTTTGAGATCTTAGTAGTGAGAGACTGAAAAAGCTGAAAAGATGTATTTAGTTTATCCAAGAGAATGACTTTATCAAAATCCGTAATGGTCTCCATAGTATGTTTTCTGGTTAGACAAAGCTCATTAATTTAGTAGGTAAAGACCACTTGAAGCCCAAAGGTTCAACCAAGGAATATGGCAAACGTCTTTTTTTAGCATTTGGAATAATGTCAGTTGAAGATCTTAAACCAAGGCTAGGTATACTTTCAAAAAGAGAGAGGTAAAAGGGATACGGGTCTGAGGCACAGTTACTGTGATGAAATTCCCAAGGCCTGTCTTTTCCAGGCAGTCAGGCCAGCTGATCCTTATAGTAGTGTCTTTTGTCCTTAGAAGCTATGAAAGTAACAATGTCTGGTAAATAATAGGCAGTAATTTGTTATCCTAAATTGGGTAATGTGGAAGTATTCATAAGTGCATATTTTAGTGGTTCCATCACTTACAATATAGTGTTAAATTCTTCTCTTGTTTCAAAATGCTGTAGAGTGTGTTACTATCATAATCATATCAAAGCCCAAATCCTGTTTTGGAATTCGGAGTTACAGTACAGGGTAGGAATGTGTACTCCCTGAGCCGTGTTGACCTAATATATACGTATATGATAGTTTGATTATAGATAATTGAATAACGTGTACTCTGACAAATAAAGAAGAGTTGCTTTCAGTGTGAAATCAGGGAACATGAAGTAAACTACAGAACTGCTTGTAATCCTTTCAGTCTTTACAAGGTCGTGAGTCATCCAACTGCCTTACTGAGAGGTAGTCTGAGATCTTGGAAGTTTTCTAGCTGCTTTTTCTTTGTAATCCTTGCTTGAAGGCATGTTGCTTCAGCTGTATTGATGGCTGAAAGCTAAATGGTCGGTTATTAGAACCATGTAACTGGAACACAGATTGTGCTTTGTGTAACCATGTTTTCAGTCACAAAGAGTTTTATACTGTTTACATGGACTAAACAGCATCAAATATAATACCCATCATTAGAAATGCAGTAATGTTTATCATGCGTGTTTCCAGTTACTTGTTTCTACTCAAGCTAACAGATACTGTCAAACTTCTTTATATATGTGAAAATTTTTATTTCTTTTGTATTACTTATTTGTCAACATCTGGGTGTACTTTTACTCCCCAAATTAGTATCTATATGCTTTTAACATGAAAATGTCTTGCAGAGTCTGTATGATTAATAAAGTAACCTCAGCACTGGATGTCAGGAAAGTTCTGTTACTAGCACAATCAAATGGGAGGTCTTAAAAATGGGTTTGTATTTACTGTAGAACGATTTGCGTAAGCCTGCCAGCACCTTTGGTAAGAAGTTAGCATTGTTATTCCACTTAATGGGAACTGAGGCTTAGAGAGGCTAGGTTGAGTGCTTAAGCCTGCACAGCATCTTTTTCAGGAGCAGGGTTCTGGGAAGACCCATATCTTTTGATTTCTAGCCACATGGATATCCAAACGGGGCTTATTTGCAAAAGTGGCTTGTAATACTTAAACATGGATATCCAAACGGGGCTTATTTGCAGAAGTGGCTGGTCCATCTTTCAGTACTCAGCTGAGGAGATTTAAATTTGAATTGTAGAGTATCAAGCACCCACATACATATGTGTTCTAGATGAAAGGTTCTTCATGCTTCTGAAGATCAAGCATGAACACTCAAGAGTGAGTTTCTCTGCAAAAGGAGTGATGTCTGAAGTAAAAGCAATCAGACTCCTGGCAGAGATTATATGAACTTTTTCTATTCTAGAAATTATGTTTGTTGTTTGGAATTCCAATTATAGTTATAATACTGATACTTCTGAAAGCTACGCTGGCACAGTCTCCAGACTGGGCAAAGCTCTGTACAGACACAGCTCCCCACCCTGCCCTTGTGCATTCCTTAATTTAGATTGCACTGATGCAGAACTGGGACATAGATGTGTGGATAGGGTTTAAGATCCCTGTAAGACTAAAGAGCTTCCTGAAAATCCACACCCTGGCATAAAGTCTTCTGAGGAGCAGTTTGATAGTTTTAGCTTAGCCTTGAAATTACCCTCTGCTGTCTGTTTGAGGGGGTTGAGGAGGAAGTGGTGAGCATTCAGACTTGGAGATGCAGACTGGGAAATCAAGAACACAGATCTAACTTCAACTCCCTAGTTATTAAAATGTATGTTATTGCAGGGTTTAGGTTGCTCCAGAGTGTTTGAAATAGCTGATTTTGCACTACACTTTTTTTTCCTTTATTTTTGATGGGTAACTGTTATTCAGTGTGATGAGAGGAATTCAGCCTCATTCCTGTTTGGTATTGCCTCAGCTGCTGACCGAACCGATTTTGATATCACCCCTTCACCAGCAGTGCTCGTTCTTGGAATGCAGTGTTTAAGCTGCCGTGTCCTTGAGTTCTTTGGAACACAGAACCAGCTGAAAATAATAGCAGCAGAAGCAGCCAAGGCAGCATGTCAGCATCAAGGTTTTTATTTTTGAGAGCCTCTGGGCATTTATTCCAGACACTTAGGAGCCAGGGCTTCATTGGGAGCACAAAGGCAAATGAATCGTATCATCTGCATCTTTAAAAAAAAAAAAAGGTATCAGTCACTGATTTCCCTGAGGTAAGGTAGCAGCTAAGAATCTAGAAGGTTTTCTTGTCCGGTAATTTATTCCACATTTCAAAATACTCTCTTGTCATTCTGTGTAGATCAAAACTACCAGCCACCTATGTTACAGTGTTCAGAACAAGTTCTGTGTGTTTTGTAGCCCACGTACTCAGTAGGCCTACCAAAGTGGCAAATCTATGATAGTATATTTATTTTGAGGATGAGGTGAAGTGATTTATTTTTTTCCTTTATTTCAGACCAAATAGTTTTAAACAATTTTCCACATGCTTTCAGGTCTCTCAATTCTTGCTGAAATTGATATAATTTAAAAATATTTTGGCTGTAATTCTCCTCATTACTTTCCCAGTTTCAGGAAAGGGAAATAGTGACAGTTCAGTTTTTCTGATCCTTAGTGCCTGATTGTATTAGCTGAGATTCAGCACCATCGTAATGCTGGCTTCATGACTTCCAGTTGGCCTGGAGCACTGGCAGAGCAGGTTTCCATCTGCCTGCAGAAAATGGTGTAGGTGTTCCCCTAGAGGGCACCAGCTTTCCTCGGTAGACTCCATCAGAATCCTGCCTTCCCCCATCCCCAGAAAATGCAACATTTTCTCTTCTTGCCTGTTCACTGTGCTTTCAGCTCATTATTTGCTGTTTTATCAACTGTTTAAGCAAAGCTGTGACATAAAAATCAGAAGAGTTCTGCCATGTAAATTCCGATGTAATATGATAATATGACACATAGCATGTAAGACCTTAGTGCTTTTACCATCCTGTTTGTTTACTGAAGACATCTAAAACTGTTGTTTTAGTAACTAGGTATCTGATAGTATGAAATTGAAACAGTTGAGCTTGCGCGCTCTCTCTCTCTCTCTCTGTCTTTGAAGACCGAATGCTAGATTTGGCCATAGTTTGCAGGTATGGTCTGCTATTGGATATCATCAACACAGACTTCCAAGTCACTGGAGTGGTACTAGTGTACAGCAAGTAAGGTTATGGGTCTGTACTCCCTTCAGATCATTAGAACATTGCCAGCTTAATTTCTCATCATTTTATGGCTTGTGAGCCAAAATTTGGACTTGGGGGTTGGCCAGGTTGTGAGACACTAAAAAAAAAATTTCTGTCTTGAGGAAGGGGTACTCTTTAAATGTAGTAGATTGATAGTATGATCACCACATTAGTAATTGAGAGTTGATACTATGATGTTGGCATGCAACATTTTATACATTGTCAGGCAGCCCATGTGCAGGAGTTTCAGAAGGCTTAATGCGCTTCTGTGGTTTCCAGTGAAGGAAGTTTCCTGGCAAAAGTCCTGATCTCTGTGGTGGTTTTGAAAAGGGCCGAAGTATGCTGTGGTAAAATCCCTGAAGTCTGGAGTGACGAAGGCTGCTTGTCTCCAGACTGCTGTTTCAGAGTCTCTGCAGACACGTCTCTGTTGGGTCACAGCCGGATTTTCTCTGTAGCCATGAGGGCTAGAAATTTGTAATGGAAGCAGGTGCTAGCCTCTAGCTCCAGGGCTCATTCTGGGGAAAGTATGCCATAGGCTTACATATAGTCAACAAGTATATGAGCCACACATAATTACAAAATGGAATAACTGAAGGTAAGGGTGAAATAATGTAAAGATGATAAAAGCTTGATGACGTACAGGCACTTACATACAGCATAAGGCTACCTCTCAAAGTATAGTACAGCAGACAGTATTGTTAGGAATAAATCCTAGTAAACTTATGAACAGTGCTTTACCTCTTTGACTTTTTGCATCTCCAGGGACAATCTCAACCAATGGGAGAAAGTAACAAGAGGTGAGGAAGCCTCTATATGGATTCCCTCCCAGTCCCTTGCTCCTGGGACCTCAGATTCACTTCCTGTGAAGATCGATGACTGAACAGCAGCAACAGATTGCTTGAACCTGAAAAGCATCCCTTCTTGTTTTGGGGGTTGTTTTTTGTTTTGTTTCGTTTTTATTGGGGGGAAAAAAAAAAGGAAAAAGAAAAGCTACAAAATGCTAACTAAGAAGCAGATCTGCCTAGGAGGGTAACACCCATGGAGTTACCTCAGCTAAATGACTCTGGCAGCCAATCTCCTGACCTACACCAGTGACACAATGTGAACAGAGGGAAAACGACAACCCAGATGTTTTAGAATCAGCTATCAAAAGAGAACTTACAACTTGTGAATATAAAAGACTGGCCTTATCTCATGGGCTACGTTGCTGAGGCCTTAATTTAAAACTGATGGGGGGGAAACAAAAATCTTAGGGGGTACTTCTAAATTGTATCTTTCTAGTGAGGGTTTCAATGGTACTTTTATTATACCGTACTGTGGCTGGCTTTAACACCAGTGTCACTTGGGAGTTCTTGGCTATAAATAGAACAATATACCCATTGCTATTGTGAATGTTTATGTGTGATCTACTTGTAATCAGTTTGAACTCCAGCAGAATCCTTGGAGGCTATAATTCATGCTTAGGTTACAGTGAATTCTCTTGCTGCAAACTAAAGGAAAACCAACATTCAGGTTAAAGGTTTAAAGTACTTCATTAAGCATCATGATGCAAATTGTCTGTCACTCACAAGGCAAACGTTGAAAGAACTAGTGATGGTGCTTTGTTCTTCAGAATGATTTATAAACCTAGACAACTCCTCCCTTATAACACTGGAAGTACTGGATATTTGTCTCCGATATGAGAGAGAGTTTCAGGTTGGAGTTTTTGTATCCATAGTGACAGAAGTATCAGATTAAAATTTAAATGTGACAGCAAAGGTTTCCTTGCCTAGCTCACAATTAAGTAAAGTAATAATTTTTATTTCTACCTGCTGAGTTGTATTTTAAAAGGTATTAGAGACATACCTGGAGTATGCTATCTGCTGGGAACAAAAGCCTTGTCAGAAAAGTCAGGTCTGATAAGAGGGATTGTGGTACCATCACAATAAATTAAAAATGTTTTTGTATTGACTAGCTTTTGTGTTGCACAGTAACACTGCATGTCTTCTACTGCTCTCTTCCCCCATCCCAAGATGAGTGAAATTAGGAAACTTCTCCCTTTGTCCGTTTGCTTTTTTCCCCTAGTTCAGCAGGATTTCCAGGCTTAGAACTGCCTTTCTCAATGAAAGAATAGCTGACTGAAGAAAAGTACTCTAAAATATTGTGTTTACAGTTCTGTGCGGACTTAGGCTTCAGCCTTAAAAACTTATGCACAGACTTTAAGACCTTACATTTAATGCCACTCTTTTAAATTTAGTGCAATTGTACAGACTATGTTTCAACAACACTTAATTTGCCTTCATCTTTCTCTTAAAAATAATAAGAAAAAAAATCTTCATATTGATCCACACAGTAAGTGAAAACACAGTCTTTGCATACCTTTCACATACAGCCTATACTGCATTATATGCTTTTTCACAGATAATACAGCCTTGTAGTGGTTCTGTGATAACACGGCCATTTGTGTAACTGCAACAAATACTAGTAGTGACTTAAAGACAGAACACAGGTTCTCTTTTGCCATCTCATGTGTGTTGAGCTGTATTGCTCTAATAAGCATGCCATCTTATGGGTTTCGTGTAAATGACTTGGACTCTTGAGTTTTGCCTTCTGTTATGGTCGAGCACATACCAGTATCTGTACATGTGTACAGTATGTGATACATAATCGCATAATGTATAAATGCACCTAAGCCTTTGCAGTACATAGATATCCCAGAGATCGAGAATTCAGTATGAAGTTATCTTATTTATATGATACAGGTTACCTGGCAGCAGCCCCGTCATTTTTTTCAGTTTGCTTTGCCAATTCTAAGTGCAGAAATTCATTGTTAACCACAGCAAACTATTTTGGAATTAAAAAAAAAAGGCAGGAAACAATTACACCAAAGTAGAATGAATAGTATCTCATGCTGTGTCCTCTGCTTTACTCCTTAGCAGTTCTGTTGTAACTAAATCGTGTAGATGCAACCTTTCATCCACTAAGTGCTTGAGACACAATCCACGGTTCCTAATATTTACATGAAAATTACCTAAATCTACAGTGACTGCAAAAATACTCTCTGAAATTCAGATACCCCAACAACTGGATGGAACATTTTTCCTTCATGGGTTAAGTATATTTGCTGTTATTCTCCCTCTTTGAATGCTGATCTTACAAGCGTTGCAAAAAAAAAATTCCTTATCATACTGTGTCTGTGTTATGGAGAGCTTCTAATTCATCTTTTACTCGTTGACAGTAAAGATAATTTCACTAGTTCTGTTACTTACCATTCAAAATATTTGGCAGTATCACATGATATTTTTGTTTTGAAGTTTGTAGGTACCGATACAGAACATCTTTCCCTAACAAATTTGTCAAATTGGCATAAGTTGTTCTATTAAAGTCTCAAGTCAATCAGGTATTGTTTCTAATATAGAACTATCTAAACCACATAAAATATATGTTTGCTATAGAATAATGTCCGTTAGAGTTAAAAATTTTGGCTCCAGTGGTTGTGATTTGGTTTGTTTTCCTGGTGTGTAAAAGAAGAAAAGGTCATGACAAAATGTTACTCTTTGTTAGCACCTAGACCAAAAAAGTAGCCACAACGGGCTGTATTTTCTAAGCAAATTTAGTCTGCCTTAGCATTTACAGAGTGCAGATTCAGATGTGTAAATTTTTTGTAGAAACAAAAAAATTTTGGCTCCAGTGGTTGTGATTTGGTTTGTTTTCCTGGTGTGTAAAAGAAGAAAAGGTCATGACAAAATGTTACTCTTTGTTAGCACCTAGACCAAAAAAGTAGCCACAACGGGCTGTATTTTCTAAGCAAATTTAGTCTGCCTTAGCATTTACAGAGTGCAGATTCAGATGTGTAAATTTTTTGTAGAAACAAACTTATACCCACACTTCCAAAGTCAAAACCACCAAAAATTAAAACTTTGAAGAGGCTTTTGAATCTCATGGCTCAAGTACATGTTGAGATTTAATTGTTCAAAATTCTGGACTTGGACTCACAAATAGAGCAGTAAGACATCTAGATCTGTAAGACATCTGGCTCATTAAGTTAAAATGCCAAAAGGCATTCTTCCTTGCATTTTTATCCTCCTAAAACTGATCTTGCCCAAGATCAGCAAGAATGTATAAAAAACCTAGCAGATCTCTCCTTTCCTAGAAGTGTTAGACTTTATACTCCCAAAACTGCATTATTTTTGTTAATAATTCCAATTGCTTTTCCCTTATAAGCCCGGTAAAGGTAAAAGGACTGTTTGAAGCCATATCTGAGCATTTCTAATGTATTATGAAATGGTGCCTGAAAGGTATGCACTAAGTGAGAAAAATAGTTGACATAGCATGACACTCATCTGAGATGTTGCATGTTTTGTTACAGCACTGACAGAAACTCCACTGTTATATTTAAGCTATGAATTTTGTACAGTAGTACAACATTCTGCTGTAATGGTTCAACTCATGGCAGTGTTTTTTTATAAGTGGCCATTTAGTTATTACATTAGAGAAATGCAATACATCTTTTTAGTTGGAGTATATGATAAAACGTATTTACATCGGAGAGGACATGCAGTGTAGAATTCATGTTTTTATGTGGCACAGACTTCTTTCACGTGTTTAAACTTAGAACAGTGCAATCAGTTTGCTGTGACTGCATTTAGAGCATTTAGTGTTAAAATTGTAGGGATAGCAAATAGCACTATTCATGTGAAAAAGTAGAGATTGTTAGATGCTCAAAAACAATTATGACCCTCTTGAAAGAATGCATTTGCCTCAAACACTGTGATATAGGAACAGTTCTGTGAAGTGGAACAATGAATTTGTTCATTCTAAACACAGAAAAGGCTTTCTGCACACTAGTACGAGGAAGTTCATGTTCAAACTTTAGGTTATATATCCCAATCTAGCAAAGGCACATCATAACTCTTATTTTGCTTTCTGACCAAAAACTGTGCTCGATTGTAATACGGGTGTATACTCTGTCAAAAAACCTAAAATAATGGACTGCTTTCTAGGGTAGATCAAACTGATTTGTAGAGTAGATTCATATATATTCAAAATTCAGGTTGGGCTGTTATGTGAAGAAGAACGAACTTCAAGGTAACAACATTCAACTTTACTACATTTAGTGAGCTGAAAAATTTGTTTTATATATATATATTTACACACATATATATATATGATACATATAAACTATCTTTGTAAAAAAACAAAAAATATGCAAAACTGATTTGTAGAGTAGATTCATATATATTCAAAATTCAGGTTGGGCTGTTATGTGAAGAAGAACGAACTTCAAGGTAACAACATTCAACTTTACTACATTTAGTGAGCTGAAAAATTTGTTTTATATATATATATTTACACACATATATATATATGATACATATAAACTATCTTTGTAAAAAAACAAAAAATATGCAAGTGCAATAATTTAAAGAGGTCTTAACTTTGCATTTATAAATTAAATACTGTATACATGGTATGTAATTTTTTTCATGTATTCATTTGCAGTCTTTGTATTTAAAAAACAAACCTAAACCTTTACTATTACGTTTGTACAATAGAACAGTAAGCATTTATTATGATATAGTTAAGTTGTAAATAAATTCACAAACTAAACAGCCAGTACATATGCATATATGGGTGTCCTATTGTGAAACCTGTTTTTGCTTTTACTGCTGGCTCAAAAAACCTAAAATAATGGACTGCTTTCTAGGGTAGATCAAACTGATTTGTAGAGTAGATTCATATATATTCAAAATTCAGGTTGGGCTGTTATGTGAAGAAGAACGAACTTCAAGGTAACAACATTCAACTTTACTACATTTAGTGAGCTGAAAAATTTGTTTTATATATATATATTTACACACATATATATATATGATACATATAAACTATCTTTGTAAAAAAACAAAAAATATGCAAGTGCAATAATTTAAAGAGGTCTTAACTTTGCATTTATAAATTATAAATACTGTACATGGTATGTAATTTTTTTCATGTATTCATTTGCAGTCTTTGTATTTAAAAAACAAACCTAAACCTTTACTATTACGTTTGTACAATAGAACAGTAAGCATTTATTATAAAATAGTTAAGTTGTAAATAAATTCACAAACTAAACAGCCAGTACATATGCATATATGGGTGTCCTATTGTGAAACCTGTTTTTGCTTTTACTGCTGGCTTTAGCACAGCAAGACTACTTCTGTGGATATGTAATTATACATATAAATATATGTATGATACATAAAATATATTTAGAAATGTTCATAATTTTAATGGATATATCTATACATATACTTTGGTGTGAATATTACTGAATACAGAGTTTTTTAATATTATTTTTCATGTTTATTTTTGCTGTTATTGGGCGTGGAAGTGAGGGATGGGAAGTGTGTGTGCATATGTGTGTGTGTATACCACGAGTAATCCACACGGAATCAAAGCATAATGCAGTACCTAATACACTGATTTGCTTCACAGATCTCTTGCAATGTTCATGCTCGGTAAACAGGGTATTTGCCATTTATAGACCTCAAAGTGGCCTTGTGTCTTATGACTCTGCATGACCCTTCCGTTCTCAGAGAAAGATGTTGAGCCTGGGATAGCGAGTTCAACCTGAGCTCTGTCTCTAGATCTCAACATGGCCTCCAACTGTCCCTGGTCTTCCTCCTCACCAAAGGAACTCAGCATTGCTAGGACAACTTGGCCAGAAACAGGTTTCCAGGGCAACTGTTTTGATTTAACTACTGCACACAATTGTCAAAAACAAGTCTTACAAACTATACCTGGGTTTGTACTGTTGTGACCAGCCCTTCCAGAAAGCTCTGTTTGCTGCAAGGGACATGCTGCTAGGGCTAACTTTTGTGTATGAATACATTCCCTTGCAGGTATTGGAAAATATAAATGTAAAAACACCTTACCTGAAGCTCATTGAAGTTTGGGGAGGAAAGGAGCATTTCTGTTGGTTTTGAGGAACTTTGAATTAGGCTTATTTGAAAGTATCCAAGTGCTCTGTAAGATCCTGTGCTCATTTGGGTCAATTGTAAGGGATGGAGACTTCAATGGATTTCACCTGCTCAACAAGTGTTGGAGATTACTTTGTTGTGCTTATTTTGCTGAAGTCAATTACTGAGGACAAATTCCCCTTCCTCAATCTGTAGTCCCTCTTCCTCGGATTAGGGAGAAAAGTTTTTTTCAGTGTGTTTCAGTAGTGCTCTAGGAAGAGCTACCTGTACCATGGATGTTGCTTACGAAGATGAAGATCAAGAATGTTACATTCTTGAGAATGCTTTAGAACGTAGTAGTTGTGTGCGTAAGACCTGTTGTTTAAAAGTCTTCTAAAAGAAAGGGGAAATCTGAGACTCAAGAACTTTGAAAAGGATGAATTATACCAGGTCAAGTTTTCCTTTCATGTTTTTTTGGTTTGTAACATTGCTGGAAAGGCTAAATGATTTTCACCACATAGTCTGTTAACATTCAGCTGGCATTAATTATGTTTCTTTTTTATAGCAATGTAAACCCTGTGAATGTAAGTGACAATATGATGTTTGTAGAGCTACTTCTGTTCCTTGAGCTGTCTTTATGCTGCTTATGGAAGCAACTTAAGTTGTTAATAAACACTATTTAATAAGTATATGGAAATGAAAAAACCAGAGCTTTTAAAAAACCAAAAAAAAAAAAAGCCAAAAAAAGAAACTTTTGGAAGCACCTAAGAGAGTCAATATCTGTCAGAAGCCTTTGAAAATTTTACCATCAACGTTAGTAGCAGTGGTGAATACGGGTAGGCTGGAATTAGTGCTGATGGACAAGTTGATCATAAAGAAGAGAAGCAGTATGACAACTAACATTAGTTTCCAACTAGTGAAGTCCAAGTTGTTTTCTGCTGCTGTCTTGTGGAGAGAAAAACAGTATTCAATATTGGGCGTATTTTACATCTTGTAACAAAAAAATCCCACCTTGCTGAAAAAAAATGTAGTTTCTCATGTGACTAGCCTGGGAAAAAGGCCAGTGACATGTGACTTTCCTCTTAACATGAAAATGTACTGAAGCTTGCAGAGAAGAATATTTACAGTATCTTTGGAAAGACAATGGACATCTGTTAAGATGCTACTTAGTGACTTGAGGGAACTAAGTTGTTCCGTGACAGATTTCCATTATGCCCTTGTGCAAGTTGCCCAACACTGGATGGTTTTGGTTTTTGTTAACTTATGTAAGCCTCTAAACACACTTTTGTGTTATGCATGTTTGGAAATTTCCCTGGTTACATGCAGTCCAGAATTCAAAACATATGTAAAAGCAATCAGGTGGTCACCTAGTAATATGTATGATGGTGTTCACTTTCCTCTCAGGTGAGGACAAATATTACAGAGCTGTGATGCCCTCAGATATCTTCTCCAGATGTGAGGGGAGGCTTACGAAATTACAGGGCAAACTTTCAAGCTGGCATATGTAGTTTCATATTTAACAACTTTTGAGCTGTCACAGTGCCATATAATCTTTAAAATTTTCAAACTCCCTTAATTAAACACAGTATCAGATTTTATTTTAAAGCTGTGCTGACTTCTATGTGAGGGCCAATGGCAAATGCTTTTTGAGTACTACATCTGTAGTTCCTGTTCCACAGCCATTTTGCAGGGTCCTGTTCCAGGCCTGCTGGGAGTGGTATGGTTAATTCTCCTGGTCTTCTAAACTACCTGAATGAGCTCCAGCTGTCGGACAACATCCCATTTTGTATTCAGTACTTGTCCAGGGAACTTGGTCTATCTTCTGTGCAGTTCTCCCTGGTTTTCGTGATTAGTTACCGAATATATTAAGACAGGCTACAACCTCATGCAGAGCTTCATGTGCAATATATTGACTTCCTTCCTTTCCAAGTTTCTTAATTAGCCACAGCACTAGTAAATGTTCTCGGTACTCTAGAGTCACAAGCATGGTAGAACTAAAGTTTCCAAGGAATAAGTACCATTTTTTCATGTTGTTTGTTGTTGGTATGTGTGTAAAATAACACACAAAAACTCAGAATATATTCCTTTTGGAAGTTGTCTTTCATTACTTTTTCCTGCATGTTACAGAAAAATGTTGTCTGAAATCCCTCCTCCTGTCCCCAGCAAAGCATTGCCATCAGAGCTAGCTATCTTTTACTGGTGATATACCAGAAGCATTAGTGAACTAAGTGCATGGTTCGTCAAGCGAACCTAAAGAACTTCCACATGGTCTGGGACTCAGAGCTAATCCAGGATGTCTGCTAATATAGTTTTGCTTCCAGAATGTACAAGGACAGCAGTCTTCACTGAGTTTGTTCTAAACCTTTGCAATGCCAACAGATCAGAGGGAGCTGACCTAGGGTTTAGAGGTTGTTGCCATTCTAGCTGCTGAGGCATCAGTTGAAGACTTTTTCTGTCCTTCACCAGAAGGTGTGTGAACCCCAAGACCACCAGTCTCAGAAAAGCAAGATGTACTATACTGCGGACTTAAAAGAAAGCTTCACACAGGAAAACATCCTATGAGAGACTTGCATCGTTGCTATGTGAAAACTTCTAAATCAATTCCTTGAAATCATTAAATAGAATTTGCTGATAAGAGCTTCACACAGGAAAACATCCTATGAGAGACTTGCATCGTTGCTATGTGAAAACTTCTAAATCAATTCCTTGAAATCATTAAATAGAATTTGCTAATAAGGTTCATAGAATCATAGAACATTTTGGGTTGGAAGGGACCTCTAAAGGTCATCTAGTCCACCCCCCCTGCTGGGCAGGGA